TTAATGTTTTCAGACCTGGAGACGTTTTTAAATAAAAACGAAACGATTGTATTTTAAAACTCCGTATTTAAAGATGTATAATGTATAATATATACCGACTAGTACAAATTATCCGAATGAAAATATAATGAAATATTAAATAACAAATATGAGCAGCAAAATAATGATTTAATAATAATTTTTGCAAGGTACAAATAACTGCAAATATCACAAACATTAGACATCTTCCAAAATGTTAGGTGTCCATTCAAATTGGCAGCAGTGGTAAAAAATTGAAATTCATTTTTCTTTGTAACGATATGTTTTAGCGGCATGTAACAAATATACCTACCGCGTTTTACAGCAAATAAAATGACGTATATTCCATTCCCATTTCCAATTTTGCAAACATCTAGTAACAAAAAATATGGCAAAACAGCAATCATAATTTAGTATTGTTATGGAATTCTATGGTTAAAAAACCTTTCGGTGAAATATCTTAAGGAGTGGTAGCGAAATTGCAAATAAAATTATTTATTTAGTACCTCTGACCTTTTTTTGTTTACTATAAAAACGGGAAAAAGCAAAAGGCGCGCTTTCTGTACCTGCGACACTTACAATGGTTTTAGAAGAAATAGAACTTTGAAACGACAATGTCTAAAGTGGCGACAGTATGTCTAGATTAATCAATAAGAATTGTTTTGGCATATGTATAGCCCGTTTTACTAAATCAGTTCTTTTAAAGAGTAAAATTGTTTTGTTTGCATCTTGATAAGATAAATTTTTATTAATAATTTTAAACACCCTTTATCTGGAACAGTAATCAGTTTTTGGACACGTGTATTTATCGGTAATTGGGTAAAGTTTGCCATTAAAGTTTGACCAAATGTTTGGTTACACTCTGTATGTAATCTAACTTAATGTAAGAAACAATTACGTTGAAACTACTTGTACTTGTATTAACCGTTAAAAAAAATACCGCACTGTAGTCATCTGAAAGCAATTCGTAATTTATTAATTGCCCAAGCTGCCGACCGATAGGTAGCGAGAACGAGCCTATCCTTATCGTGAGGTATCGCGCAATGAAACTCGTCACGCTTTAAAAAAATGAGCAATTTTATTAATACTTAAACGCTATCGCCTTTACAGTGTAGGCGTTTGTTTTACGTACGTCTCGGATTTCTCGCCTTTCAAGTCGTAACCGGGGTATTGATTGGCACTGGAAATAGAACAATTATGTCGATAATCGGCGTATTAAAAGGAGATATTCCCAGGGAAGACTCACGAGATCCTGTCGTGCAAAGGGAGGCTGCTAGTGTAACGGTGTACACGGTGGCAGTGTGGTTAGCTGGTTGTGATTTTTGGACCACGACCACTATCCATACTTCCTTCGTGAATATCGTTAGAACAACAGGAGATGGTACTTTTGCGGCATGTATAAATAGTGTGTGCCTTCGTCACGGACAATGGAGATGCATAGACAAAATTACTGCCTTTAGTACACTGTAAAAAAAATTTCACTATAATCCGAGTTTCTGCTAACTATCAAGTGAGTGACTCTTGACTCTATTTTGAGTAGATATGTTAAACCAATTAAGAGTTGACTTCTTTTCTACGATTTAAATTTAACTATTATTGAGTAATTTTGTATTTTCAAATGAGCCGCCCCGCACCAGCCGCCGCCGCCGCCGCTACTTCCTTTCATTAATATCTGGAGTGGTTTTGTACCTCTTTAAATTTTAATTTAAATATCATTGTAATAAACCACTAAGCTGCCATAGTAGTCCAGACGGTATCTGTTTCAAAAAGCCATATTTGGGTGAATCGTATATCCACGGAGATTTTTGGCTTTTTGGCTTTCAAATATCACTAGAAATGAAAATTTTTCTATGCGCATAAAAAAAAAAGTGGGCTTACCTTTTGGCGGCACAATATGTTAAAAAAGTTGTAAAAATGTCATATTTTTCTTCCTATTTAATTATGTATCTTTTTAAGAGTTGATTTTAGGCGAAAATGAAAGAGGAAAAAAATGTTTGAAATTAAATTTTTTACAATACATGACTGGTTACAAATCGAATGAATCATGATTATTATGGTAAAAATCGAAAAATTCACAAAAGTGGGGTTAAAAAACAATACTTTTTAGGGAATTTTTTTGGTGTATTTAAATTGGGTGTAGGGCCTTTATACTTGGCTCAAGAAAACTTCATGTTATGTAGACTCATCACACCAAATTTCATCAAAATCGGTTCGATAGATTTTGCATAATAATTTTGCAATTCAGATTAAAAAAAAAATTGCAAATTTTCAAAATTTTGCACAGCAAAAACCAATTACATATGGGACATTATTTTCCCACTGCTCCCCATACTGCCCTCTATTTGATCTAAATTTTTTTTAAAAAATCTTATAATTTACAGAAAATTGTAAGCTTCCGAATGGTGCGTGACAAAATTACCGAACTGATGATCCAATCCCCAAAAAATGTCGAAAAATCGAAGAAAAATTATGACAACCGTAATTTTTCAGATGTAACGATTATTCATTCGACTTTGTCTTTTCCAGTCAACGCCTGTATATGAATGTAATAAGAGTTTATTGTTAGAATGAGCTACCTTGAAGAATAAATTTGAAAGTCGAAAACCAATTTTATGAAGATTTATCGAATGAAAGAATTTTTCCACAATGAGACACAACTGATTGTGAGTTGATGTAACAGTTATATCGTACGAATTTTCGTCTCCAACCCTAATATAGTATGCCTAGGAATTGTAATGAGGCCATGGGACCTCGATATTCGTGGAGGGCACCTGCTAATACCCCTTTATCAATACTCTGTCCAATGATCATGATTGCAATATCGCATAAATTTTCCCCCTCAACTTCTATAAAATACATATAGGGTTCAAAACAAACTATGAGATCTTGCATTTGCATAAATTTTCACCCCCTATCCCTAAAAATATGTTCACGTGTCTCATTTTGAAAAAAAATATATTGGATGAATCTTCATAAATTTGATTTTAAAGCGCAGTTGAATAAAGTACTATTACGAGGTGATTAGTAAAAAAAAGTCGAGTGAATCATCACTATATTTTAAACCACATATTGTTAGTAACAATTTTCGACGTCGAAGTCTTATAGTATTTACTCACTAAGTTCACTAAAGATGCAAGTCGAAAAAAATGTTACCATAATTCTCAAGTTTCCAGTAACTATGGTGTATAATTTTCAATAACACAGCATCGATTCATCTGTCCAATAGCGGGTTTCGAGAGCTTATTAGGTATACATGAATTGCATTTTCCGAATATTTCATGGGGTTTAATTAATTTTTTGAAAATTTACACCAATTTTACGAAAAACATCGATTTTGTCAATTTTTGTTAATTGTAAAATTATTTTTTGAATAAAAAAATGAGGCGATTCTGTCTTGTATAAAATTTCATTTAGAACAATAATGATTTCTTGCATTTTCTTCGCAAAGTGAGATACACCCGAGAAATTGAAGTAAATCAAATAAAAAAGCATTTACTGCGGCGTAAATTGTTTCAAACATTTTTCTTCACTAATTTGTGTTGTTCTATAACTTATTTGTAAGGGTTTCTCGGAAAATTACTACTTCTGAACTCTGTCCACTGGACTAACAAGTTTCCACACAGGCTTCATTTGACAATATCTAATTCGAAATTACATATTTTTACCTCCGATCAGAAATCAAAAAATGAAGTAATATTAATATTATTGTCGTAAATCTTGTTACAAAAAGCATATAGGTACATTAGTAAAATGTATTTTAAGATCGAAATATTAATCTAGAGTAGGCAAATTATTACGAAATTAATATTTCTATCTTGATACTCATTTTATATCACGAAACTATTAATAAATGTTTAAATATTTGTCTATCTAATCATAAATATTTGTATGTTCATTGAAGTATTTATGATACAGTTATGAATGGAACTAAAATTCATATTTGTGTGAACTTATAACGATAATATCTTTATCCGTATTTGAATTAGATCAATTCTGTAGAATAGGAGATTTAGCGACAATTTTTGATTGCGAAATGAAGGCATAAAATGTAATATCACTATTGACTGTTATTATTTATAGGTTACCTATTAAATTATTTCAATTTTCTGTAAATACACTTTTACAGGATATTACATAAAAATTTTTAACTGTTGCAACCAATACATTTTAAGTAATGATGAGTTTAATACGTTTTAAAAAAAAAACAAGTGAATGCAAAGTGTAAAATCAACGATATTACAGGCTTTAAGTCTTAAGGCATCAAAAAAACAGCAGAAACTTTTTTCCTAAAATAATTCCAAATGACTAGTCCTTCAAAACTTTTGAAATTAGATGAACAATTTCCCTTCAAAGTTTTTGTGTCCCATATTCTGTAGATTGGTTCACGGGTAAAAATCCAAATATCGTCAGCAATTAATAAAAGTCAATTATTTTCTAATTTTTCAAGAATTAAAGGTGTGTAATTATGAAGAAGTTGAATGTATCCGTTTGACTACTTTCTTGTAAATAAATACGAATTTTGCATTCTACGAGGAAAACTCAAGAAGCACAAACATTTTTAATGCGAATGATCCATTAAAAAATTGTAAAAAGATTTTCTCTAATCCCAGATAACTTTTTGGGAGTTGAAACTCTTCATACCGCTTCTAATTCTGACACTTCGTTAGTAGTTAGTTTTATATTTAAATAAAGGTAGCTACTAAGAAGGAACTGCTCTGTGGCAAATTTGAAATCTGTATCTTCAGTGACTCTTGAAAAATTTAACTTCCAACTTTTGACGGAGAAAAAAAATTGATCCTCCTGTTTTTTTTTTATTTTTTTGCAGAGAGGTTAACCCTAAAGTTTGTCGTAACGTCCGTGCTACATTATGTATACCTACACCCACTAAATGTTCTAAAGCTATATTGATTCTATTTAATTAATTATTTCTAGAAATTAATTTGTTGTCATAAATACATTTTAATTCTTCCTCATTCTTACAGGGCCGCCTATGTGTCATTTGGAGGGCTCCTGATGAGGCTGCAAGGGGACGCGAATAACTTGCATAGTTTTGAGGTGGACCAGCATATGTACTTACTGATGAAGAAGATTTTTATGTAATTTTCGCCAAATTTTGTACAGTATAAGTTAATAAACATTTTTTATTAAAAAAGTTTTAATAAATGGTAGTTTTGACTTTCATTTCATTCATTTTCTCATGGCCCCACCCAAATAGCAAAAAAGTGGGATGATTTAAAATTAAAAAAATCGGAAATCTCGCATAAACTGAGTAAAGTGATTTCCCGAAAAAGAAAAAATGCAGAATGATACGGCAAAATAAAATTGTTGCAAATTAATTTATTCACTCTCAATAATTATTGTCGTGTCAACATTATTCACATTTACTCAATTTATCCAAATGTTTTAATTGCTCTCGGTAACAAACTTCTATCAACGAGCAATTGCATGCCTTAACAAAAGTAATTAAGTGCAAATATGTGTTTTATAATTATAAAGTTATACATAATAATAATGTATATAATTACACTTCAGTCAAAAATTGTGATTTAAAAAATGAATAAAATTTAACTTCATTTACACAGAAAGTTATAACAAAGACATCATTATCGTTAAGTTTGCAGGTAAGTGTATATTAAATTTCTGTCAAATAATGTAAAAATTCGCAAAAAATGTAATTTGGTATGTATTTCTTCAATTTATTGAAAATACTTGCATGCACCATTTTCAGTAAGACTTATTATCTTACGATTTGAAAGAGTATATAAAACTGACATGAATACATTTCTGCCATAAAATTATTAAGGGGTGGGCAAATAGTATAAGTATTATGTACTAGGTCATCACGTAAAATGTTACATTCTACTGTAATTCCATTGTGTTTGAAGATATCGAAAAAGTAAGTGATTTTTTACTCATTTTTCATAAGAAATTCATTTCCCTTTACTAATGTTTCAAAAGGTAACCATTGCTTTTATCAAAAAAAAACTTTTGGAGATATACACACCAAATTTGTTTTTTTTACGGAACCCCCTGTATATTTTTTACACTTTTTCCTGTTAGAACGCTTTTTCAGGGTTACAGAGCAGTTTGTTAAATCTGCCTCTAATATTAACTATGACGAAAACAAATGTACCATAATAAAATGTGTTTCTTAAGAAAACAGAGTTGGTTTGTTAACTAAATAAAAGAAATTAATTTCCTAAAGAAATTGTAATACTGAATGATAGTGTCATGGGGTAAATTAGAGTTCATTTTAATCCATTGTTCTTAATATGTCCCGATAACTTAAAAGTTTTTTTAAAGTTTATTAATATTTTCATATGTACCTAAACAAAAATTATAATGCTATTTAATAGTAGTTTGTGCAACAATTTATTTTCCAATGATTATCATTTTTCTTTTTCCCTAATGATAGCATAATAGTCAAAACCAGTGGGAAAGTAAATAATATAGAATTAAGGGCTATAATTTACCCCATTATACTTAAAGAAATTAATTCCTGGCAAAAAATGATAAACACATCATATTTCATTTTTACAATATCTTGAAAGTATGGGGATGGCTTAATTAATTTTGAATTTGATTTCCGTTTTTCTGATAATTTTGAGGGCAAGGTATGAGAATTTTTTCTAAATATTTCCCAAGCACATTCCGATGACAATTTGGAATTGTTGTACGATTTGTTTTTTGCCAAGCTACAGAAAATAAAGGAAAACCAACAGCGTTTTCGGCGGGGTCAAATCTTCCAGCGGGACTTTCAACATTTTTATTTTGTTTTTGGGTATAGTCCAGTCAATGAATGCATTGTAGCGTGTAATGAAAAATACGAGGACTTTGTTAGGAATAGTTAGGAGATAAACGTACATACTAAAAGATCCCGCCCTTGAGAGGTGAGCTAATGGCGGGAGAATTGTTGCTTTACATGTTTGTGGAATTCCCAACGATTTTCGAGATATACGTTATTGAAAATCAGTAATTTTCGAAAAAATTATTTTTACCTCTCTTTTTTTCAAACATTTGTTTCTAGTGCCTTCCACGATCGTTTCTCAGAACAATTGTCAGAAACAACGTTGTAGAGCATTGAATTTCCTTCAATCTGATATACACTTTTGCCAGATCCAAAGTTACAGAATTTCTAATATGTACGCTCAATTTCGATGTTCCTCTAGAAATGAGTATGTTGAGAGCCTGTTGCGTTTTAACTGCTGTAACTTGTTTTCATGATGAATAACAACATTTTAACGATAGGAATAAGGTAATTCCAATTGAAACCTGTTATAATNTTATAACAAAGACATCATTATCGTTAAGTTTGCAGGTAAGTGTATATTAAATTTCTGGCAAATAATGTAAAAATTCGCAAAAAATGTAATTTGGTATGTATTTCTTCAATTTATTGAAAATACTTGCATGCACCATTTTCAGTAAGACTTATTATCTTACGATTTGAAAGAGTATATAAAACTGACATGAATACATTTCTGCCATAAAATTATTAAGGGGTGGGCAAATAGTATAAGTATTATGTACTAGGTCATCACGTAAAATGTTACATTCTACTGTAATTCCATTGTGTTTGAAGATATCGAAAAAGTAAGTGATTTTTTACTCATTTTTCATAAGAAATTCATTTCCCTTTACTAATGTTTCAAAAGGTAACCATTGCTTTTATCAAAAAAAAACTTTTGGAGATATACACACCAAATTTGTTTTTTTTACGGAACCCCCTGTATATTTTTTACACTTTTTCCTGTTAGAACGCTTTTTCAGGGTTACAGAGCAGTTTGTTAAATCTGCCTCTAATATTAACTATGACGAAAACAAATGTACCATAATAAAATGTGTTTCTTAAGAAAACAGAGTTGGTTTGTTAACTAAATAAAAGAAATTAATTTCCTAAAGAAATTGTAATACTGAATGATAGTGTCATGGGGTAAATTAGAGTTCATTTTAATCCATTGTTCTTAATATGTCCCGATAACTTAAAAGTTTTTTTAAAGTTTATTAATATTTTCATATGTACCTAAACAAAAATTATAATGCTATTTAATAGTAGTTTGTGCAACAATTTATTTTCCAATGATTATCATTTTTCTTTTTCCCTAATGATAGCATAATAGTCAAAACCAGTGGGAAAGTAAATAATATAGAATTAAGGGCTATAATTTACCCCATTATACTTAAAGAAATTAATTCCTGGCAAAAAATGATAAACACATCATATTTCATTTTTACAATATCTTGAAAGTATGGGGATGGCTTAATTAATTTTGAATTTGATTTCCGTTTTTCTGATAATTTTGAGGGCAAGGTATGAGAATTTTTTCTAAATATTTCCCAAGCACATTCCGATGACAATTTGGAATTGTTGTACGATTTGTTTTTTGCCAAGCTACAGAAAATAAAGGAAAACCAACAGCGTTTTCGGCGGGGTCAAATCTTCCAGCGGGACTTTCAACATTTTTATTTTGTTTTTGGGTATAGTCCAGTCAATGAATGCATTGTAGCGTGTAATGAAAAATACGAGGACTTTGTTAGGAATAGTTAGGAGATAAACGTACATACTAAAAGATCCCGCCCTTGAGAGGTGAGCTAATGGCGGGAGAATTGTTGCTTTACATGTTTGTGGAATTCCCAACGATTTTCGAGATATACGTTATTGAAAATCAGTAATTTTCGAAAAAATTATTTTTACCTCTCTTTTTTTCAAACATTTGTTTCTAGTGCCTTCCACGATCGGTTCTCAGAACAATTGTCAGAAACAACGTTGTAGAGCATTGAATTTCCTTCAATCTGATATACACTTTTGCCAGATCCAAAGTTACAGAATTTCTAATATGTACGCTCAATTTCGATGTTCCTCTAGAAATGAGTATGTTGAGAGCCTGTTGCGTTTTAACTGCTGTAACTTGTTTTCATGATGAATAACAACATTTTAACGATAGGAATAAGGTAATTCCAATTGAAACCTGTTATAATATATTAAATTGAAGGAAATTCAATGCTCTACAACTTTATTTCGACAATTTTTCTGAAAACTGATCGTGGGAGGTACCAGAAGCAAATGTTTGAAAAAGGGGTAAAAATGATTTTCTCGATAATTATCGATTTTCAGTAACGTATATTCGACATGTAAAGCAACAATTCTATAGGAAATTAAATTAACTTAAATTTTTATGCACTCTATACCTTTCTTTTGAACACTCATTGGACTGGATTAGTACTTCATGATTTTTTAATCTAAAAAACTGGATTGTTTCTCATATTTCTTCCTGATTTGTAGCAAGATCAAAAATTTAGAGAAGATTGAAGAATTGTGCCTACATATTTCATTCCATTATTCCAAAAGTTAAGTGAAACATTTTCGTTTATAATAATAATTTTTAACCGCTATCATTATAAAAACTTTCAAACCGAAGAAATGAACATATTGGATGGAATATCCAATATGTTCATTTCTTTGCAATTACCTGCATTTAAATACCTACAGTAAATTTTCCATTTGGACATTTTAAAACGATAAAAGAGATGCATAAAATTTCGTAAAAGGTCATGAGATATCGATTGGTGCCTGTCTGAGTCTTATAATAACCAGCGTATCTGTTTGATAATGTAAAAACGCGGAAATACGTTTGCCTTCAGTTGCAGGAGATATTGTGACATGAAGACGAGAACAGGTGAATGAACTCTCTGGTACTTCTACTTCAGTATAAAAAGTGTTTGGGAGAAATAATAATGTTTGGAACATTTATTCTGCTGGAACCAAAGTTCTTGTTCCAAAGTATTAATAAAGGGATAACACATAATTAAATCTTCATTAGGATAAATGAAATATGTGGGTGTTTTTTAAGTGAGTTTTTCTTTTTAACCGCTGCCCTTTATATCAAAATGAAATAGTATAGGGCAGCGATATTCAAACTGTGTTCCGCAGAACCCTGGGGTTCCCCCACAACCTTTGGCGGTTCTGCGACTCGGTCATAAATTAAAAAATATATGTATATACTCGCGTTAAAGTTTCCCGAAAAAAAATATATTTTCGAATTTTTCTGTAGGTGATGAGGTTTCACCCGTAAGATTTTTATAAATGATTTGGCACTGTACGTGTGATCTTTGGAGAATTTTTAAATTTTTTTACTTTACCAGTGGCGGAGAAAATAGGGGTCCCCATTGTTTTAGTAAAAAAATTTTGGTACGCCACTGGCTTTAAATTTAAAAATCAATATTTTTTGGATTCTCCGCTTAATTTGGGACAAAAAATTATCCTTGTAAGTTTTTCGTAACTATTATCATTTTCAAGTAAAATTTATTTACTTATTTCTATACAATAACGTGGACATATTACCATGCGAATTTATTATTTATTATGTTTTACTTGCCTAAACATAATTTGCCTAATTCTAATACAAGTGTACATAAAAATCTGATAAGTCGAGAGTTTCTCAAATCGTAAGACGCCTTCGATATTCTTCAAGATTGTTTGGCGTTGCTATCGCAATTTCCGTAAACGTGCATATCACTTCAATCCCGTACAAGATCTACATCCAGGAGATGCTGAAAAAAGGTTAAGCTTTTGTCGCTGGATTTTAAACCGTTGGCAGTATAACAATGAATTTATTCGAAATATTTTATGGACCGATGAAGCTTGTTTTACAAGAAGAGGCACATTTAATTATCACAACAGTCATATTTGGGCTCATGAAGTGAGACGCCGATCATACCAGCAAGAATTTAGTTCTAATATCTGGTTAGGTGTGATGGGTGGAAATATTTGTGGACCTTATGTATTACCTCCAAGGCTAAATTCAGTATCATTTGCTAATTTTCTGGAAAATAAGTTATTTCAATTACTGGAAGATATTCCCTTAAACCAAAGATATCGCAGTTGGTTCCAAATGGATGGAGCTCCAGCTCACTCTGGCCAAATAGTTCGCAACTGGATGAATGCAAATTATCAGAACCGCTGGATAGGACGTTTGCCATATGAACCGTTGTTTAATGTGGAGGGGCCGGTGCCTTGGCCTCCTAGATCACCAGATCTTAACCCCCTCGACTACTATGTATGGGGTACGTTGAAAGATGATGTTTACTCTGTACCAATTGAAGACAGAAATCAGTTGCAGAGAAGAATAATAGACGCCTGTGATAATCTCAAGCAGAGGCCACATGAAATCATCGCGGGGATAAATTCTTTAATACGAAGATGTGAAATGTGTATTAATGCAGCAGGCGGGCATTTCGAACAACTTCGTTAGATGTTATGCAGCTGTAATTACTTTCAATAGTTTTATTAAATATTGATTATTGAATTGATACAGTAATTATTTTATTGTCGTTAATTCAACTGCAATTTGTAGGTCTATTGTAATAGTAATAATAAATAAATTTTACTTGAAAATGATAATAGTTACGAAAAACTTACAAGGATAATTTTTTGTCCCAAATTAAACGGAGAATCCAAAAAATATTGTTTTTTAAATTTAAAGCCAGTGGCGTACTAATATTTTTTTACTAAATCAATGGAGACCCCTATTTTCTCCGTCACTGGTAAAGTAAAAAAAATGAAAAATTCTCCAAAGATCACACGTACAGTGCAAAATCATTTATAAAAATCTTACGGGTGAAACCTCATCACCTGCAGAAAAATTCGAAAAATATATTTTTTTTCGGGAAACTTTAACGCGCTGTATCTCAAAAAGTAAACATTTGTCGGGTATAGTTTATTTAGGAAACTAACATTATTTTTTGATAATGTATTGATTCCTTAGGTTTGATAAAAAAAAGTGGACTATTATAAAGTTGAGGTTTAGGCGAGGCTTTAGGCAGCGCAGCGCAACGTTATGAACGCATACTGAAAAGCTACCTAATAATTTGGGTACGTTTTATACAGAACCTTTTGTACAAATGTTTAATTAGAAGACAAATCTTAAAGTTACAATCAAAATTATTCCCGTTTCCCCGAACAGTGAATCGTGTTCAACGTATCCCAGATAATGCAAGTTCAACTTTTTCACGTAACTTTTCAACCGTCTGAAGACATGTTTGTGGATCAAATTTTTTACATGTCTCCCACAGGCGGAAATCGCATGGTTTGGTAGCGCACTATAAAACAGCTTCATTGCATTCGATAACTACATAACCAGGAAATCTTTCGTTTAAAAAAATTGCATGTCGCGTAGGAAATGTGGTGGACAAATCTGTATGAAAACCACACGCTTTATCGAATATTAAGTGTTACATTCACCAAAAATACATGTAACTGATTGTAATCATTAAAAAATTGAAATAATGGACGCCAATCAACATCTGTGGTTAAATGAAAGGTTGTGTACCTAAACGAAATTTTCACTCCCTTATTTTGTTCCAATAATAATTACTCCCAATACTCACATAAACGAATCCTGAGAGAATGGTCTTCTGATTGCAGTACTTGTACAGGATATAGTTAATTTTTGGACTTTTGGTGCAGAATTTGCCAAACTTTACTGTGAAATTCATTAAACTCACGAGAAATTGTTTGTTCTTCAAAAATTTTTTTCAGCGTCATTTTGTAACATAACCTTTAGGGATAGCGATTTTGAAAATGTTTTCCGTAAATCATGTCTACAAATCCGTTATTATTGCATCTGTTATAATTAGTTGTTGAAATAATCATTTCAATTGAAAGCTTTCACTAACACGTAAATTAATACCATCCTACCAAAAACTCATACTTAGAACTAAGAAAAATGATTACTAAATTTCAACGGGCGACGACATTAGAAATGGCAGTAAGTAGATACTACGATATTTCCGTGCTGTAGGTCTGAGAATTATAGAATTGGTTACTTTTATTAGTGATTTTTTATGAAACCCATTTTGGCATCAATTCCTTAAAATTCAAACCCCACTTTCTAATAAAAAAACATATTATTAAATCTATTTTAGAAAATCCTATTCTCATACAAATTCACAAACTGAAACCCTCTTTCTAATTTCTTTCCAATTACCTACGTTCTTCCCCTGAAAGCTTGGCAGAAATCAGATTCTTAATAATCCAGTATCTAGGTACTAAGGACTAAAATAAAACCACTTCTTACTCTTTAAGTTTAGCAAGGAACAGATTTTAGAAATGAATTTAGGAGAGCCAATTCTGCGAGAATTTTTTAATTGACGTAATAATTTTTTTATTGACGTAATTGATTCTTTTTAAATCAAGTTGGATCACAGCAGTTGTGCCTAAACGTTAATAAAATGCAAGTAGGTGTTAAAGTAAAATTAAGGGTAATGGATTGGCTTACATCATTAAATGCATGGAAAAATCCTACAGCTATACCTAATTACATATTAAAAGTTGTATTCTACGTCTCTCATTCTCCACATCACACAATAAGAAAGGCAATTTAAAATATTGTTGGTGGTCTTTTTTTGTACATTCTACGGATTCCAAAAAATAACAGAGTAATTTAATTAGATGATTATTAACGAGTTCGTATAATGAAATTATTTCTTTATTATAATTTAGGAAAATTTTTAGAATCAATTTGAAGTGGTTTTAACGTTTATAATAGTGTAAAATTAAAATGTAACCAAATGAAACCAAAGTTATGTTTGCTGTAACTTTAAACCATCAGTTAAAGTTTCACATGCTGGAATAGTTTTTTGTTTGGGAATTCTATAAACAACAGATAATATCCAGATCGGTATGGGAATGCCATCAAGCGCTGGTGGTGGCCTCAGCTACCAACAGCATATCTATATGCTGGGTTAAATGACAGGACCGCTGCTATGGCAATAAAGTAGCTAACAAGCTAGCTAGGAATGTATCGGGTCTTACTATCTTTGGACCCTGTCCCTCCAATGTGCTCTCGTTGCCAGCAGTTTTTGAAATGATTAAGGAAGACATCCACAAAGAGTTTAGAACACGGTGGGTTGAAATAAACAGCTGTCGATTTGCTAAGGAGGATACCCCAGCAAAGACACAGCCAAAAAGTACCTGGCTATGTCCAGGTTAAGCCTTCGCCTGGTAACGGGTATTCAGACCGGACACTGTTGGCTAAGGAAACACCTCTACAATATAAGGAACAAACACCTCTATGTAGAGGATGTGAGTAGGAGGACGTGACAGTTTTCCATGTACTCCGCGAGTGCAATGGTGTCTCCTGAACGAGATAATTCGTGGTAGGAGAATGGTGATCTTCTATTGCCTACATCAGAGAGATCCCCCTGAGCAACCTTTTTCTTCTTGATAGGTTGGTTGACGTCTCAGGAGAGCTGATCTCTCGCTGGGAGGATGCACAAGCAGCCCAATGGAGCTTAAGTGCTGTAACTCAGTATAATGAGTGACCCTTCAAACTATTCCAGAATCAACAGATTTAAAAAATAATTTTTTGTAGCCATTACATAATCTTAAAATGAAAAGCTATCTTTTTGGTCTCTATAATATTGTTTCTGAAACGGAAATCTTGACGAGCAATTTTGATTCAACAATATGTTCAAAATCTGTTGAGGATATTCTTCTAAAAAAAACTAATTTGTTCTCAGACCTGATAATAGAGAAAATTCGGTGTCCGTTTCAATTGCGTACGACTTTCCTTGTATAAGACCTATCACTTGATAGTTGAAAAGGTAGAAATTCTAAATATTATTTTGACTTAACAACTAACAACATTCTTTCTTCAATTTTTGTCATTTGTCAGTGTTATTTGTTGCTTTGCTTATATTACACTAAGCTTCACATGCTAAAGCTTATATCAGAGTACTAATACGTCATTGCCATGTCGTTAGTAGGAAATATTGCCATATATACATATAGCCAAATAGCCATATAGCTCAAAAATAGCCACGGAAAGTTTTCAGTGAAGGGAAATAAAGGTCTTGTTTTTTAGACTATAATTTTTATTTAATGAATATGCTTCAACAAACTAACTTAAACGTGATTAAATATACTAAATATTTCTCAAATAAATCTATATCTTTTGATGGTACCTCATGATGTAGTAATTGGGATGTACATTGGCATTTACATCGCAGGCTAATTCGATCAGGTCCAGTATAAGCTGCAAAAACGAAACTATAAGATATGCTGACAGCCATTGCATAAAATACAAGCGCACATTTGTTGTTCTGATAATTACAATTCCAAATGTTTTTAGCACCTGTCTCCTGATACTTTGTCACTGTGTCAACATAATGTTGGCTGTCGTTTTAAGCGTTTCTTAACTAGTTGTAATACTGCGAACAATTCCAGTAGCGTTCCTGTGTGGTGTTAATAACCCTTCATATTTCATTAAAAAGGATTTGTGTAGTGTATTTATATAATATTTGCATAATTAACAGAACAATATTTTTGAACAGAATATTCCTCAAAAAAGATAGGTAAGATTTTTGGAATCTCTTATATTTAACAGAAACGTTATTGAAATTATTTGCAACTTTATTCATTAAGCAGCGAGTTGTAAAAGTGTGGATTTATTCCACATTTTCTTGAAATATAAAATTTTCTTTTATTCACTACTTCGTATTTGTGTAATTTATAACGTCATTAAATTTTATTCTGAATGAGTATACTCTCCAACTTTTTCTTTTGGATGTTGAAAGAGCATATCTACATACGATGATGTAAAGATCACAATGTGTTACACAAAAATATTTTCGAGAAAAACTCGTTAAAGAATGAGCGTCAGAGATACTTTTCAGATATTCAATCTGAAAATATGCTTTGCAGTAAGAGATGAGACTGATTGAAATAGAATTAACAAACTTAAATGTTTTGTAAAAAAAATGTCGAAACTATTGGAAAAAGAAAGGATAGAAATTTCAATTACAGAGAATTCTTAAAAAGAAAAACTGCATCGCCTTTGCAAGAATTTAATTCTGGATTTTGGCTACTAAAATTTTCTTATACCATGGGGAAGATGAGTTCCACTACTTTTAAATACAATGTGGATGCCATTTTGAGACCATATTTTTTCGAATACACTTTAAAAACGGATGTATTTAGAATTTTTACAGAATTAATTAATTAATTCCTTCCTGCCTTGGCTGTCCTTTCTCCAAATCCTGTGATATCAGCAGCATGGGGCTTACGGCATTTTGCTATACTAATACCTAATTGGTGGAAAAGTCGATGAGCAATGGAATGGGCTGCGTTCCTGTGATTTGATGCCACTTGATTTTTTTCTATGGAATATGTTAAAAGTATATAAAGAAATACCTTATGATATAAATCAATTAAAAGAGAGATAAAACAGACTCTTAGAGACATTTCACCAAAAACATGTTACAGGAATTTATTTAACAACTACATTAAAGGTTATAACAAGATTCAATACTATTTTTCTAGAAAACTTTCTTATGTATCACATTGCTATTTTTACATCATTGTACATAAAAAAATATGCTCTTTCAAAATTGGAAGGAAAAAGTGGCTATTAAAAAAAATCTTAGACAACGATGTCATCATGAAAAGAAGAAGAAGAAAATAAGTAGCTTGTAATTAAAAACCGAGCATTTACAAAAAATATTTTTATATTTCGAAAAAATGAATTTATTCTATACTTTGCCGCTGTATATCAAGCGAGTTTTTAATACTGAACAAACCGTAACATGGTAATTACCCAAACATGCAAAAAATTTTTGAGGCGAAATATACAATTACAGAAATTTTAATTTTTTTATTCGACTGTCTAATAAATTTATTTTAAATTTAGAAAAGTAGTAACTCAAAACCGGCTTCGTTTTTCGAATACAGTCTGTTTTCTTGTAGCTCTCTCACTGCGAATTTCTTCATGAAGCAGTTGGACAAGTGTAATGCACCGAATCTGTTGTCAAATAATATTCATGAAGTTCAGAAGTGCCAACAGATAAATAGTGGGGTTAAGTTACTTATTTTCATTATGTTTACATGGTGATAATTGAACCAACAAAGTAGAATTACAATTTTTTTCATATACAGGGTGTCGCGCTTAAATGTGATACAAGCCTGTAGCTTCTTTATTTTTTGAGCGATTTCAATTTTTTTTTTTTAAATTAGGATGAACAAACTCTATCTAACTGTAATGCTGCTGTTTTTATTAATGCAATTCACGGCAAACTAGGACGCGTTTTTTGACGTCAACAGCTAATTGGTATGAAGATGTATCCAATTTGATGAAACTTGGTGGTAAGACGATGCTGAATGAGAATACGTAATCTGTTTTTTGGAAAAAAAAATCGCTAATACCAATCAACTGTTTTGATGTCAATAAAACACGTCCTAGTTGGCCGTGAATTACATTAATGAAAACAGTAGTATCACAGTTAGATAGTTTTTTTACCCTACATTCCCAAATAATTTTTTTTTAATCGGCCAAAAAATAAAGAAGTTACAGGCTTGAATCATATTTAAGCGCGACACCCTGTCCCTAATAAAAAAAATTACAGTCTTGAACTTAACTTACTCAAGAAATATGTAGTCCGTGCAATATTTCCGCCAATGTCTTTCTATCTCGGGTGTCGAATGCCGTTAATTCTAAGAAAGTGACCCAGGGGCTTTCTTTCTATCTCAACAAATATCGTACGGACTGTACATACTTTCTTTCATTTTCTGTCTTTCCATTAACCCCATTTTTTTTAAAGCGGCAGAAGTATGTTATAGAACAGCGCGTTAAGATGCACGAATGTCTCACACTTATAGTAAAGTAAAAATTTATATCGAAAAAAATCGATTTTTATTTATTTTACTTCCGGTGAATCGCATTTTACGAAAATAATGAAAGAGATAATTTTCGTTTTAACTGAAATTTTCTACAAGCGTCGCTCCAATTTTTTGAAAATGTTCATCGATTTATCTATAATAAAACTCCCGAAACGTGCTACTGCGACCAGATGAGTCGTTGCTGAGCTATTATCAATCACATTACCGGGAAGTTTGGAATTTTTTATAGATTTTGCATCTCGAAATTTACCGCCGAGAAACAAGACTTCAAGAAATAAGTGCATTGAGCAAAATTCGATTTAATTAATATTTTTGCACTTTTGAGAGGTTTTACAAACGGTCTTAGTTTTTTACGTAGGTAAATTTGTTTTTTTTTAATTTTATTTACGGGTTTTGTAGAAGCGTTAAGAAACGCGTACCTAATTCACAAAAAAAATATTTTTATTCGGCCTATACGCTCGCAGATATTAATATTTTTGCCTTTTTGTGAATAGCTCGTTTGTTTTCAGACTTTTTGACCTGTTTCGACATGGTTCTTAATCCATAAATTAATTTACTTGCGGGAAAATGAATAAAAAACTGCGCACAAGCGGCTGAAGTGGATATTACTTTTTAAATTAGCTTATTTAAATAACAATACGTAAAAAAGGCAGCTTTTTCAATAGAAAGTACACGAAAGTAAACTTCGAAATAATTACAATTTCATGCATTTTTACGTTTTGTTCTATAACATATTTGTAGCAGATTTGTGGAAAAATTGTGGGGTCTGTGGAAAATTATCACAATCATGATATTTTGCACCTTCGCCGGTGGACTATTTGTCAACGGAACATCCAGGAAGAGATGGGGACATTTTTGAGTCCTTTACAATTTTGAACTCACTTATTTCATTGGTCCCCTACAAACCTTTTCCTGAGTGCGCCACTGACTCTATCATCGTCATTATTCTACCTAACATTTAACTATAACATACATTTTCCTTGTTATCCTGAACGCTCTTTTCCAGATTTATAAGGACCTGTTCAGTGTCCTTGTCTATTTTCACGGCAACGTCCTCACGGGATCCCATATACTTTGCCTCGTACTCTCGGAACTGCCTCTCCCTTTCTTTACGATAAGCTTCAATTTCAGCCGCTGCTTCGTCTCTGGCTTGCTTGATCCTCTTCACTTTGCCTTAATTAAACAAAAATAAGTACGGAAATATTAAACAGTCCTATTATTTCACACATTGAATAACAATATGTCGCCCCCGCTCTCACACGTGTTATTATTGTTGTCATTGTACTTATGCATAAAAAGTTTGGGTTCATTCTATCAACACACACTTTGTCGAATCACAAACAAATTTCTTAACTCTCATGAAATAAAGTCATATAAACTTGGTACTAAATATCTGGTTGTGGTAGAGAAATCATTTTATAGACAAGTTAAATAGCTACCTATCTATGAATAAAAAATAATTATTTCCAAAATCAAAAATAGAGCTAGAAGATAGTGATTAAGAGAAAAGGTTCAAGTCATCTTTAAGTCTAGAAAGACATGTTGCAAAGGTGATTGATTACTCTGCAACTGAGGAATTGTTTAGTCTCCAACAGTGAGGCAGCGGAAAAGCTGGATTGGTAGGAGGCTATTTAGATGTTTCTGTAATTCTAGGAATGCAAACAATTAAAGGGTCAAAAGAATTTCCGAAATGTTTCCGTGATTTTTGATAGACTGTATTTAGGTGAAAAATTGTCGTATCGGGAATTAAAAAAAAAAGCATTTTGAGGCTCTTAGATTCTAGTTTTTAGATCTTTCGGTCGAAATTTTTTAGGAGCTACGGTTATTATGCAATTCTAAGAAATAGCGAGACAAAAAAATTTTGCAAATTTTCTATTTTTTCACGAACTTGGAAATTTTTTTTTCAGCTAAGTCATTGCATGGACTAGATAGCTTGTTTATTCAGCTTCAATTTCCTTTTTTCTTTTAATTTCGATACATCGAAATATCGGACTTTTGTTTTCAATCATCGATATCTCGGCGACAAATGGCCGTACAGAGAATTGAAGGGCAGTTTCGAAAACTGGAATAAGCTCAAAAAACGTGACCCTTTAATTTTTTTCAAAAGTTTGATTGTTTGGAACAAAGAAAAAAGTCATGCTTAACATTAGTCATTTCCTGAATATTTCTAATTTAGCTGTCAATTTTCTAAAAAAACAATATTACCTTTTTTCCTGTTTTGAAAATTCGTGTAAAAAAATTTTTTTCGAAAAGTTGCGGTAGCATGTGATAGGAAATTTATTCCAGTTTTTGAAACTGTCATTCAATTCTCTGTACGACCATTTGTCACCAAGATATCGATGATTAAAAACAAAAGGATCCTTTTCCATTGAAAGTCCGATATTTCCATGAAAAATGGTCGTACCGAAATTTAAAAAAAAGGAAATTGAAGATGAATAAACAAGCTATCTAGTCCATGCAATGGCTTAGCTGAAAAAAAAATTTCCAAGTCCGTGGACTCTGAAAAAAAAAAGAAAGTTTGCAAAACTTTTTTGTCGCACTATTTCTTAGAATGCATGATAACCGTAGGTCCTAAAAAATTTCGACCGAAAGATCTAAAAACTAGAATCTTAGAGCTTCAAAATTCTTTTTTTTTTATTCCCGATACGACCATTTTTCACTTAAATACAGTCTGTCAAAAATCACGGAAAAATTTCGGAAATTCTTTTGACCTTTTAATTTTTTTGCATAGTGTAGTACCTTTTTTTGTTTGCACAAAGATAATGTATCTATACTAAGGGAAATTGACCAATGTTTGTTAAAATAACATTATAACAGCATCTTTTCTTATTAGTATTAAAATATAATACACCAAGCTTAAGAAAAGTTATTTTACTAACACGATTTTACCACCTTAAGTCGATGCTTTACTAAAAGAAGAGGGTACCTTCTTATGGTAAATTTATTCTAGCATTTCTCCCACTAAAAGTAAGTATATGCCTTATTGCACTACGACTTTGGGTAAATAATAAATTACCTATGGCTAGATAGATCTAAGTGAAAATTTTATAATAATAACTGGATATTGTTTCAGAAAGTAGTAATTATAGCTGACACTCAGACACGAGAGCGATATACCCAATGTGTGTCCAACATTGCAACAAGAAGGATGCCTTGCCTGTTTTTCATACAAGTATTGAATCCGCCATTTGAATTTTGTAATTTTGACTTCAGATCATAATCAGCGACCCCAAAAACCTGAATAACAAGTGGAAACTTAGAAGTTTATAATTTGATTCTTCCTTTTTTCAATCTTCATCTGATGCTACTCATTTTCTGAATATCAAACTAATCAATTTCAACGGAGAGAAAAGAAGATTCGAACGATTCAAAATGGATTTTGAAAAGAAAGGGTAGTATTTTCAGATGTCATAAAGATGAGTGGGAAAAATTACATGTAACATAACGTCGTAATATAACATTACTTCAAAAATAACAAAAAACATTTTAGACTAGGATATCTCGAAAACCTGACGTGATGGAGCAAATCTGAGTATTCGGATTAAGCGCGTCAAAAACGATCGGAAAAGTATAAACCTGATTCGGCCTGTGTTATTAGCACATGATACGTATCCACAGAGTTGCTTATTTCATTAGATTTATTCAGCACCGCGCAATAAACCAAATAATTTTGTTTTTGACCGATATTATAATTTCCCAAATTACCTATATTTTAAATTTGGGAAATATATCGCAATTATCCGGCAGGCATCGTCACATTTCAAATTTGGTACATTGGATATTACCAAAAACAGCTGGAAGGTCACAGGATTTGATTTCACTAGAGCAAAGGAAGCACTACAATTTTGCTTCTTGTAAGCTTCAGATAGGAGAGAAGCCAGTGTCAAACTTGTGAAACCTATTCCTACTATTTAAAATTTCTTTAGATGTTATTATCTTGCACGAGGTAGGTACTAAAATACGTGTGGTGTGTTCACAAAAAATGCCGACTATATCTGTGTTACTGTGAGAAATTAGTAGTTCCCAAAATAATCTAGGCTAAAGCTTTTTCTTGCACCACCAGGTATAAAAGCATGTTTGAAATTATAACCGATATGAATGATGGGTCTCTCCTAAATTATTGTAGTAAGTCTCTTTTGAATATTGTGGCTATGACTGCAAACTGTAATAATTCAAGTAAACACTTATGACAATATTGAAAGGAAGCGTTTGCTGCTATAATTTTGTTATCGCAGTTTGTGTAACACGTTTTTAGGTATATCAAATGTTACCTTTAAATTGTAACGAAATGTTAAACGTTAGCGAAAATTTAATTATACAGGTATATACGTTGTATTTGCTCTTTATGTTATACATAAAATATTTATGGCAATTCTATTACACGATAATATATTTCATATAGGATGCCACGTTTACTTCGTCTTTATTGGATTTTTTCCACTAGAATCAAAGTTATTACGATTTACTATATATTTGCTACATGCATTTTAATATAAATTTCTAAGGAAACCATTATATTTTCCATAAAGAAGATAAACCAATGAAATATTTCATATTTTACTCTGTTTTAGAGATAGATATGTATTAAGTTAATTAAAATTCGAACCTATTCTTCTAAAAAATCTTATCAAATGAAGTTAAAAAATGTTCTTCGAATCCATAAATTTAAATATGCGAAAGATATCCAAGTCCTAACTGTTGAATTGCAGGAAACACCTATACTTACTCTATGTACTACATGATACAACCAGCTTTAAATTATACCTTCTGTACTCAGTAAACAGCTAGTAATAAATAAAAATCCAAACTAAAAACTAAAAATAACATGCCTACCTAAATATAATTAATACCGAAAAATATACCTCATATATTGAAGTTTGATATTCTCCGCATTTCCTGGGAGAGTGCCCAGGATTTGCATGACGCTCCTGGGAAAACCCTTTCTCAAACCCAAGGAGCTGAGAGAAGTGTCGGCAGGTAAGCTTTTGGACTTTGTAAAAAGGACAAAACTACTTGCTGAATAGGTTTCAACAGTGGGACGCACAATATGGCTGATAAGGTCGCGGTGCTATTGAACTTGAATAGAACCTGACCACAAGTTAAGAAAAAGAAGATATACAAATGAAAACATAAGAGCAGGCAATTTAAGAATTGACTAATAACAAGAAGAAGGTATGTAGAAAACTCTTTTTAAATAACTATATTTTTAAAAGCAGCTTCATTGTCTTGATCACCCAAATATATACATAGAGCGTCACTTAATTGAACTAACAAACTTTTATGGAGTGTTCATTATCAAAATTAATATCAAAACTTCAAATGAACCAGGGTTGAGTTGTCAATTCTAAAGTCCTTACGATCAGCTTCAAATTGACCGGCTGACAACGTTCTCTTTAAATACCTTCAAAACTGTTTGAAGGATCAGCATTAAATTTGGTTTACGTTTTTCTTTTACCTATTGGTGGCGCTTTTACAGAGGCACTAAAATATACTGGCCTCGAACATACTATATTATAGGCACCTTAATAAAAAAATGTCAATTAGAAATGAATCACAGTGTCACGGTTAATTAAAGTAACACGTAAGAATTTTAAATATGTAGTATAATACGATAAATATACTTAGGTTTTAAAATTTATTTTCAGTTTTTTATGAGTACCCACAACTCTTTAAATGCCTTTCACACTACAGATAACTGTAGTGTGAAAGAAACTTTATTTTTATCTGGAGATAGTACTTTCTTTGAAGTGTTATTCTTAGAAATCGGTAACTGTATTAAATTATTAAATTTTTTGAGGAATAGGTAATAATTTTTGCAATTTTCATCGCTCGCTCGCTGTTACAGGATTAAAACGTACAATTACACTAGGTATAATTATAAATCAATAGCCAAAAACGTGTCCCAAATTTGGAAGGGATATATGAACTACCTACTTCCGAAAATATCAGACACGTCATTATCAACCAGCTATTTTCAAACTTCGCTAAAGCCTGTATCAGACAATGCAATTTTGCTGCAGGGATTTGGTTGCCGCAATAGAATCCATGAAATTTTTCTTATCAGACTATGCAACTCTGCCCCGGTAACTGAATTGCATGAATTAGAACATGCTCTATTCTGTGCAATAAAATTGCAGGGATTCTAGTTACTTTTATGAAGATTTGTTTATTACCAACCTAGCTGTTGTTGACTGTTGATCATGGTTGTTGTTAGTAACACCGTTCAAGCCACTATTAAAGCTATACAGCAATTTACTTTTAAATTTTCATCCATTGCAATGTTTTGCTTGAATAAAAAATAATTGTTTACAAGATACATACAAGAAATTTTACATGTTAAACAATGCACAGTTGGTAACACTACCGCAAACTAAACAAATTGCAGCAATTCTGTCCCATTGTGTAATAATAAGCGTGCAATTTTATCCTCGCAACAAAATCCCCGCAATTTTGTCGCTGCAACTAAATTGCATTGTCTGAAACAGGCTTAAGACTCAGAAGTGACTCATGATTCATTTGAATTTCTTGTGTTAATTTTGATCAAGCAAACTCGTGTGGAAGTTTCGCAGTCGAATTAGAGACACCCTATATCCCTATATGATTGATATTTTGTAGTGGCAAGGCAACCACAATACCTTGAAATTTTAAATGTTCATCATTTAACAAACACATAACGGAAGCAAACAATTAAAAATTATACTTTCATTGCACGATCATATTATGAGCCGTCTAAAGACGTAATTGTTTTCAATTTAGATAGAATAATTTTGGACAGTGTCTCCAAAAGTGGGTTCATCATGGCCATTTGAGATTTGGAAAATTAGTTAGTAGGCAAAATTGAAAAAAATTGATTATAAATAAAGCTCCCTCGAGAGACTAGCCTGTTTTAACCAAATGGCAGGCTAAATAAAATTCTTACGCATTTAGAAAAAAATAGAAATCAATTATAATTTTACTTTACAAAGTTCAATATTGTTTACAATATACATGTTAACGTAAACAACTATGTATTCGTATAGTATCCAACTGCCAACAGACTGAGAAACGAGAAGCGAGGGGTCCATATCTACTTCAACATTGAACAAATATGAAAATGACATAATTTGCTGCGCTTCAATTACTTCACTTCACCCACATCGTTAATTTAATTAAATTCAGACATTAAAGAGGTAGTCATAACAGCAATAGCTGGAACGTAATAAAAAGTTTTATGGTCGAAACTAGCCACAAACTTTATTAAACAGTAAACTTTACGTTAAATATCAAAAACATAAAGTAATTATGAAAGAACCGGCACTGACACGTGAAAAAAACAAAAAAGTCAAACGAAAATATTTTTTTATCTGGCATGTCCCCTTAATACTGGTAATGTAAAATTGGCGACACCAGTGAAAAACCTCTGCCAGAAATAATACCTACAGGTCTATATTTATCTAAACGGGTACAATTTCAAAAATGATCTACTTACGTTTTCTAGCCTCGGCAACTTTTTCGGCTGCCCTTTTCTCTGCCGTCAACAGTTGTTGGATACCATGGGTCTGGTGGCTTGCCATTACCGTATTGTAATGAGCCCTTCTGCGTAGTTCGAGAAGTTTAAATTAATGTAAAATGCCTTCAATTACTAAATTGTCCTCAAAAACTTAGTAGAGGGGCGACCAACAATTTAATTTTAAAATAGAATTATGGAATTTGTGTGCGGTGGGTTGCGTGTACGACACTTTACTCTGAATAAACAAACACGAACTACATGTCAACAATAGTAAATCGGTATAGTAATTATCAAATTGAAAGGTTTATTATCCGTAACAACAAATATGTCAAATTAATGCGACTAATGTTTACATCTACGTGTGTACTTGCCTCATTTAAACGTCAATGTGTTCTACTTCATTTTTGAAAACTGTATTTTTTATTCTTTAAGAATATTTCTTAAAAATTAATTACGGAAGTACCTAGTTTAAAAAAATTAAAAATTGATTTGAATATTCAAATGCAATTAAAACAAAGGATAAATACCCATTTGTTATACCTATTTTAAGTAAATGTCATGAATTTTTTTATATTTCAAAGATTAAAAAAATTTGAACACCTAATTTTCTATACACATACGTACCTACCTATTATTCTAATATATTTTTACAATTCCTATCATTATATTTTGTATCCTTTAAGAATATTTCTCAAAAACTAGATATCTCTGCTATAGTGAGATGAGCAGTAAAAAATTATTAAAAGTAGATAGATTTATATAAATATTCAAAAATAATGAAAATAAACTTTTGATTGGTAGATTTGGTAAATTTCTCATTACGTGTGTGCTATCCTTATTTTTTACACCCATATAGGTACCCAAAACAATCTATTTATCTACGTATCTCTTTATGTTCGCTCTCAAAAAAATTTGGATGATTAGGTATCTATATCCATATTATTAGAGAAAAAAAATGGCAGCATTTTTTTGTAGAATATTTAATACTGCTTAAAATGTATTTGCAAATTGCAAATATTTTATTTATAATAATGCAGTATTTATGACTATTTATAAGCAAGGGTAATAGCAAACTAGAAATACCTTGATTTATTAATTTTATTACATAAATGAGGTGGTATCTATAATATATCTAATGTATCTATGAGGTGGTATAATATAAATAATATAATAAATAAATATAGTTATTTCCAGACAGTAAACCTCTTAATTTCTATTCACAATCGATGTGAAGTGTGAACATCATCTAGATTCTAGAAATTGAAAAAGTTATTCGACGTTGTAATTTCATGCGTAACCCGCCTATGTAGGCAACACACAATGCACTTTCGGTTAATGAATAAAAAAAATGTAAACTATTAAAAAAGTATTTTTTTAATTAGCGTTCTACTCAGTGGTAGCGCTCGACTTGTATACCAGGAAGGTATTAAAAGAAAAGTGGGTAGTTTTTTTTAAGTACTTACCTACTCCTGAAATATAGGGTTTGTTCAACATTATTTTTTATGAAAGTCTGTTCTTCTGTTTTTGTCCGAATGAATCTTTTCAATTACTTTTCCATTAAAGTTTGGTATTTCACACACCATTGATTTTTCAAGAGTTTTTGCAATTTGCAAGTGCTGTTAGTCTGTTTTTACAATCTAATTTAGTCTGATTTAAAAAAAAACACAAGAAACAATACATAAGTAACAAAATTTTACCACACAAACAAATTATGTGTAAATAAGAAAAAAAGTGGTGAATAGGCGAATTGGTTACAGGCGGTCTAAACAGCGCGCAAACTACATAGTGAATACGTGTTACACTTAGGTACTGTCTTTCAATGCTACATGATGATAACCATAACCACTGCTGTAAACTCTTTACAGATTTAGGAGCAAACTTCAAGGAGGGTATTCAGTTTTTCATATGAATTTTACAATTCCAGTTAGATTGACTGCACATTACAATTTTAATATTTCTTTTTTAATGAGCTTCATAAGACTAACCTGTTTAATTATCTAGATAACAATGTAACCTAAATTTTAAATTTTTTACTATGAAAATTTTCATGGTCTCCAGAGCCCCCACACCAGCTACCACTGGTTATACTCTATTGTAAAACTGGCATTTATTTATTTGGATGTAAACTGAAAACTGAAACTTTCTGGGCCTGAAATTCTAATGGTCAATTTATAATATAAGCAAGCAAATACCAAAGTAATTTTTTATATTTTTATTAAGGGAAATTAAATTTAAAAAAAAACAGATATATTACGTTTTATGGAAATTTAATACACATTATTTGTATATCATATATAAACAATAATTCTCTAGGATCTATCATGACTAATACACCTAAAACATAAATAATTGCATGTCACAGCTAATAAAAATTTTCCAGAAACAAACTTACATTATTATTTTACTTTTTAAGTAACTGGTGTCTCAAGATGAGGAAAGGTGCTGAAAATCCGGAACCAAAGAATAAAACGAACAAAGCTGTTAACTTGAACCTATTGTTAATGGAGAATGGCAAATTCTGTGGAAAAAAGAAATGTGAGATACCTAAAAACTGAAAGCTTGAGACTTTTAATGTTTTTTTTTACTGAAATATGTACTAAATTTTAATTATCTCATGGTTTTCCAACCCCAATCTAGTATTATATAACAAATATCTTACCCCTCCAGGTACACCACCATGGTCGTGGTATCTTGCCAAATTCCAAGCAGCTTTTCTGACGAACAGATTACTTCTACCGATCATTTTTTAACGTTTTAAATACTTTAAATTTTCAGTAAAGAATAATAAATATAATGGCTACCACCAGCACCACAAAATACAAGGTCTAAAAATAACAGGTGGCGCTGGCGCGGACACGCATTGACGTTCAATTGTTTCAAACATTTCTTCTTCTGCTTCTTGATGTAACTAAGGTTTTTAGAAATCAAAATATCAAAGTCTCATGTATACTCTACGAAATTTTCTTAAGTAATAAAGCATGAAACCCAAAAATAGACAATATCCTTGAGCGCGAAAATATAAGTATCGGTAGCAGTCTGATTAACACTTAGAGCATACTACATGGGGGAAGTCCCGTGTGTTAACAAAGTGTAGACGTTGTAGAGAGAAGTACCCTAACTATCTTTTTCTCTCTCTATCACTCGTCTATTCTTACGTCGCCGCCATAAGGCTTCATCCTTCATGTATATGGTATGGTCACAGCAAATAAAAATACGCTGTGGTATGGTGTATGGTTATGGTAATCACATACCTTTTCTTTAGGTATGTGATGGTATTATACAGGATCTCAGGATCCACAAAAGCTGCTAACCAATATTTGTCTTTTGACTTCAACAGACTACAATACTGCACATTTTTCAAATATATAAAAATTAAAAATTAACTATATTTATTTTACATGTAAATTGCATGTCAAAAAAATTTAAAATACCGCTACACTAAAAGGAAAACATTTATTTGAAAAGTGATACTTTTTACATTACTATACATTTATTTTAAATACATATACATAAAAAGGAAATAAGGGGTCCAAAATCCCGACCCAAAATATAACATGAAGAGAAATGACAATTTGGTAGGTCTGCCAAGTGACTTGCCAAACGGCAGATTCTGAAAATTTAAATAAGTGTTTTACTATGGTCTTTATTATTACATATTATTATTGTTTTTATCAAATTACCTCTCCTGGAACACCTCCTTCATGTCCATAACGTCTTGCTGTGTAATTTTTTATATTTTTAAGCAGTAACGCTCCTGTTCTTCTGAACATTTTTCTCACAATTGTTTGAAATTTTTGATTATATTTGTTATTTCGTTATGGCCACCTTATAAACAATGTTATTAAACCTAACTAACTAAAGTCTCTAGATTGTTCAGGGACTTTACTAGTATTTGGGAAATTACTAGGATTTCATATTAAATATTTCATTATTTATCAAGGATTCGATAAATAATGATAATAATAAGGTTAAAGACCAAATAAAAATTAACCAATATAAAACTACAATTTGTTGTATTCGTTGCTGTACCAGGTTGAATTTTAAAATATTACCAAAAAATGTTGGCTAAAACAAAATTTATCAACAATGTATCATTATTTAAAATCATTCGTTATATTTCTTCTGATGTTATAAAAACTCAAGTTGATGTTAATTCACCTCAGTTTAATGTAAATATTTTTTAATTAAACGTATACAAATACGTATTTGCCTGTTTTTAGGAAAATCATGCTCGAATGGTGCAACTTGTACATGAATTAAATGAGAAAACTTTAAAAGTTTTAACAGGTGGTGGTGAAAAAGCAATAAAAAAACATGAAATGAAGAAAAAGTTGCTAGTTAGGGACAGAATTAATTTGTTGATAGACAAAAGTTCGGCTTTCTTAGAGCTTTCTACATTAGCAGCCGCTGATATGTATGATAGATCTATCAGTTCGGCAGGTATAATCTCAGGAATTGGAAAAATACATGGTCAAGAATGCGTGATTGTAGCAAATGATGCCACAGTGAAAGGAGGCACCTATTATCCAATGACTATCAAGAAACACTTAAGAGCGCAAGAGATTGCATTTGAAAATAAACTGCCTTGTATCTATTTGGTAGATAGTGGAGGTGCAAACTTACCTCAACAGTCAGAAGTATTCCCAGATAAGAATCACTTTGGTAGAATATTTTTTAATCAAGCAAACATGTCGAGCCAAGGAATAGCTCAGGTATTGGCAATTTTTTTAATTTTCTCTAAATGTAGTCTCCAAAGATCCTTTTATTGTAAGCGATTTCACTTTTACACCATACTAGTTAAAATAGTTTAATTAATTTTGTGACACTTTTAGTTTTGTTTCTATGATATAATGCCCAAAGAAATTACTTCATTTTACTTTAAATTTCTTGAAAAATATCTGAATTGTATACATTTTCTTTAGATTGCAGTAGTCATGGGTTCATGTACTGCTGGGGGTGCTTACGTACCTGCAATGGCTGACGAATCCATTATTGTGAAACAACAAGGGACCATATTTTTAGCAGGTCCACCGTTGGTTAAAGCAGCTACTGGAGAAGAGGTATGTATTATTTGATAATCATTTTTATAAAACATTATATTACGGTGATAAGAATTTTTTTCTTCTTCAGAACAAAAATTTAGAAAATTAATTTCCTAACTATATTCTTCTATAAAACGTTTGAAATGTTTGAGGTCTCTTCTGAAGAACTGGGCGGTGCAGATCTTCATTGTTCGACTTCTGGTGTTACAGACCACTACGCCATAAACGACACACATGCAATACACATAGCTAGACAAATTGTGAAGAATCTCAACTTTAAACGATCCAATCCTTTTAATGAACCTTTTGAATGTCCCAGATATAGCACTGAGGATTTATACGGTATCATTGACTCAGATCTACAAAAGCCTTTTGATGTCAGGGAAATAATTGCAAGAGTATTTGACGGCTCTAAGTTTGACGAATTCAAAAAAAAGTATGGAGAAACATTGGTGTGTGGCTTTGCAAAGTTGTACGGGAAAACTCTAGGTATTGTGGGAAATAACGGTGTATTATTTTCAGAGAGTGCCATGAAGGGTGCCCATTTTGTGCAGTTGTGCACCCAAAGAAAAGTGCCTATCATATTTTTACAAAACATTACGGGTAATATGTTTATTGAACCGTCTGTTGTGCTACGATAAATGATACCATCTTTTAGGATTCATGGTTGGTAGGCAAGCCGAAATGGGAGGGATAGCTAAACACGGAGCTAAATTAGTAACAGCCGTAGCATGTGCTAGTGTTCCAAAAATTACAGTTATAATAGGTGGTTCTTACGGAGCTGGAAATTATGGTAATAAATATTTTATAAACTACTTCAAATTGATGCACATTTTTTTTTGGAATTACAGGGAAACATCTCAAAATCAGTGAGAATCACATCATGTTTAAAGAAACTTGAATGATTTTTACTTATTCAGGTGTATCATAAACATGAAAGAGGCTCAGAAATTAGGATTTAGTTCATTTGATTAGCCATGATTAAAATCACAGATTTTGGGAGTTAATATGAAAAATTCTTTATTTTTAAAATTTACAAACAAAAAAATAAATTCTTCAATTAAGAGGAGCATTTTTGTGTGTAATTTTCAGTGAATTTATAGCAGTCTTTTGAGGAGGGTTTTAGAAAATTTAAGCAAGTTAGAAACAATATCTCTTCAATGTATCAGTTGTAGCAGTTTTTTCCAGGGTATAACAAAGTTTACAAGCTGACAATATTTCAGGATAAGGGAAACATCATACTTTTACTTCTATATTTATCACTATATGTTCTGATCTTCCACACAACTACTTATTCTCCGAATACCATTCATTCCGAAACTTCCAACGTACACTTTGTCTTTTGACTTCCCCCATTCTACATCGAGAGAAGGCACAGGTCTCTCGCAATTTAAAAAATCCTTTTTGTCCTCAACTTTCCATCTCGAAAACGACGTTTCCAATAAAATACATACTGGATAATACATAGGAAACATTTCTATAATTATTGATACAAAACAAATATTAACAAAGAATCGTTATAATTGTGCACTGGGCGAAACTGTTTAAAGTTAAAGACAGGCGATGGGTGATGACAATGCTGCTTCAATTTCCACATCACTCATTCCCCATGCCGTAGTTTACTCACGTGTTGGCCGCCTCGTTGCCATGACAACCGCCATAAACAAAGCTACGAAGAGACCGATTTCGATCTGCGTCACTTGCTCATACTATACGTTGTATGGTACGAGGTTGATGTTCGCGCTCAACGAAGGCAATGTTTTTTTAGAAGCCGTTCACCGCGCAACTGTTCTGTTTATTTCTGCATATAAAACAAACAAACACAATACATTTTCAATGTAGAATTATACTTAAATTATAAAATTTATATAAAATTAAAAATAATTTTAAATTGCACAAAACGGAAATTTTCGGTGAAGCGGTGCGTCACTTGCGTTACCTGGCGAGCCACCACTGCCATGTTTTCCGTGATCTTTTACAGCGCTAAATTAAAGGAAACCTCATATTTCAACATTTTTATAGTCTAGATGGGTTTCCTTGTTCCATCATTGTCTTACTAAAAGTGTGATTTCTTGTCAATCCGCTATCCTTAATGGTGATAAACTCTCAAAATTATTAACATATTCCATTCCACAAAAAATAACAGACATATAAATATTTATGGNTAATATGAAAAATTCTTTATTCTTAATGGAAATTTTATTTCAGAAATTTGATAATTTAATTTACAAACAAAAAAATAAATTCTTCAATTAAGAGGGGCATTTTTGTGTGTAATTTTCAGTTAATTTATAGCAGTCTTTTGACGAGAGTTTTAGAAAATTTAAGCAAGTTAGAAACAATATCTCTTCAATGTATCAGTTGTACTAGTTTTTTCCAGGGTGTAACAAAGTTTACAAGGTAACAATATTTCAGGATAAGGAAAACATCATATTTTTACTTCTATATTTATCACTATATATCCTGAACTTTGCAATTCTCCATAAAACAGGAAAGGTACATTGCGATGTTTACAAGGGTGTTCATGTTTCAGTGGCGGCTCGTGACATTGAAAATGGATGAAGCATATTATTTTATTGGTTGACTAAAAAGGAAAAAAAAGCGCCACAGGCGAAAATTTTCAAATTTTCAAGGCCAAACGGCTTTAAATGAATCGGGAAATTTTTAGTTGCATTTGCAATATTACCGAAAAACTAACGTCCGCGAGAAGGATTTTCATTTAGATTTTATAAAAAATAGAAATATCAGTTCAGCTTGTGGACTTCTGCGAACATTAACGCACACTGTAAGTATATGTTCCAAAGAAGCTTTGTGGTTACGACAGCCTCACGTGACATTCCCAAAATTGTTTATCCCTCCTTATTCCATACGCCCGACACGGCATACAGAAAAGTTTTTTTAAATAAACACATCCACACAACCACTTATACTCCGAGTACCATTCATTCCGAAACTTCCGAACCTACACTTTGTCTTTTGACTTCTGCCTTTTTCCACATCAAAAGAAGGCACAAGTCTCTCGCAATTTAAAAAATTCATTTTGTCCCCAACTTTCCATCTGGAAAACGGCGATTCCAATAAAATACATCCTGGATCATACATAGGAAACATCGTTATAATTGTGCACTGGGCGATGTATCGTATAAACTGTTAAAAGTTAAGGGCAGGCGATGGGTGATGACAATGCTGCTTCAATTTCTATGTCACTCATTCCCCATGCCGTAGTTTACTCACGTGTTGGCCGCCTCGTTGCCATGACAACTGCCGTAAACAAAGCTACGAAGAAACTGATTTCGATCTACGTCACAACTGTTCTGTTTATTTCTGCAAACAAATACTATACATTTTCAATGTAGAATTATACTTAGATTATACAATTTATATAAAATTAAAAATAATTTTAAATTGCACAAAACGGAAATTTTTGGTGAAGCGGTGCGTCACTTGTGTTACCTGGAGAGCCACCACTGCCATGTTTTGCGTAATCTTTCACTGCGTTAAATTAAAGGAAACCTCATTTCAACATTTTTATAGTCTAGATGGGTTTCCTTGTTCCATCATTGTCTTACTAAAAGTGTGATTTCTTGTCAATCCGCTATCCTTAATGGTGATAAACTCAAAATTATTAACATACTCCATTCCACAAAAATAACAGACATATAAATATTTATGGNTTTTTTTAAATAAACACATCCACACAACCACTTATACTCCGAGTACCATTCATTCCGAAACTTCCGAACCTACACTTTGTCTTTTGACTTCTGCCTTTTTCCACATCAAAAGAAGGCACAAGTCTCTCGCAATTTAAAAAATTCATTTTGTCCCCAACTTTCCATCTGGAAAACGGCGATTCCAATAAAATACATCCTGGATCATACATAGGAAACATCGTTATAATTGTGCACTGGGCGATGTATCGTATAAACTGTTAAAAGTTAAGGGCAGGCGATGGGTGATGACAATGCTGCTTCAATTTCTATGTCACTCATTCCCCATGCCGTAGTTTACTCACGTGTTGGCCGCCTCGTTGCCATGACAACTGCCGTAAACAAAGCTACGAAGAAACTGATTTCGATCTACGTCACAACTGTTCTGTTTATTTCTGCAAACAAATACTATACATTTTCAATGTAGAATTATACTTAGATTATACAATTTATATAAAATTAAAAATAATTTTAAATTGCACAAAACGGAAATTTTTGGTGAAGCGGTGCGTCACTTGTGTTACCTGGAGAGCCACCACTGCCATGTTTTGCGTAATCTTTCACTGCGTTAAATTAAAGGAAACCTCATTTCAACATTTTTATAGTCTAGATGGGTTTCCTTGTTCCATCATTGTCTTACTAAAAGTGTGATTTCTTGTCAATCCGCTATCCTTAATGGTGATAAACTCAAAATTATTAACATACTCCATTCCACAAAAATAACAGACATATAAATATTTATGGCATTTCATATGTACCTGTACATTTTGCTGTATTGTAAATTTAAAAATATAATAAATAAACCCCTGACTTTTTTCGTTCTTTGATGAAAATATTAGGATTATCACTTACAATCTATCCTTCTCTTCCCTTACCATCCTTTGTATCTTTCTATGTAGGAAAAAATGTGTAAAAACTAATATTCTAGGAAATTTTCTTGCGATTTCAAAAAAAGAATAAAAAAAAGTAATTTGCATTTCGAAGGTATTTCTTTAAATGGAACACCCTGTACATTTGTCACTTTTTGGAATCCTTTCCTTCTTCTAATTGTAGTGATCTATACTCCGTGGTCGAAATTGTAAAGAGTGACTAAGACATAATATAAAAACACTATTACCATAATGCGTATAAAATGACCGATACAAATAAGTTTGCATCTAAGATAGCTCGGCCCACAAATGCACATGAACATCCAAATCTTTCTAACCGAATGTACTCTTTCTCAATTTTGTGCAGCTCTGCTCGACTCAGAAATGCAAACTTATTTGTGTCAACCTCTACATTTTTAGGTTTTTCTGCTAATAAATTTACTAAACAGATGTTTAAATATTTTATTAATTGAAAAATACTTTCGTATAAAAGGGGTTTCATTGTGCTCTAAACAAAGAACATTTTTTTTAAATAAATTTTTTCCTGTGGAGAGAATTTTATGATCCGCAAGAAATCCTAATTTGACCAGCATATGGTACTTTCTGTGGGAGATTGTGAAAGATAAATAATGACAGATTAAATCATTTGATTTAAGAGAGAAAATATTAAACGAAATTAGTACTGTCAATGGCTTGAGGAAGAGGGCATTACAAAAAAAACTTGCTTGAAGTATTGTTCCTCGGGCCACCCTCATAACATTTTTATTTCTGGAGCGATTTTGACGAAATTTTTTTTGAAATGTGTAGGGGGGATAGGTGTATTTTGGGACCAAGCGGCGTCCATTTTTTTTAAAACAGGCCTACTTGATTACATTCAGAGGCTGAAAAATCCAAAATCCATATTAGCGAATCTGCTTGCTCCACTAGATTTGGCGTCCCCTGAAATAGATCTGTAACCAAATTTCATGAAAAAATATTCAACATTTACGATTCTACGGCTAAATTGCTGTCAAGTTGTTTATTATGCATTAAGAAACTTTTTATCTAGTACCTAACCCATGCGATAACAAATCAATCACAACGAATATTTAATAACATTATTTAATAGACATCCTTATATCAAAATACAATGAAGCAAACAGAAAAACAAACAAAGAAATTAACATAAAATTTACAAAAAAAAACAATAAAATAAAATAAAAATAACACATAAATTAACTTTAAATTCTGGATTTTTCAACTAAATCTCCATTTAATTGCATTTATTGTAAATTTTGTTAATTTCTCGTTTGTTTTATGTTTGTTTCATTGTATTTTGATATAAGGATGTCTATTAAATAATGTTATTAAATATTCGTTGTGATTGATTTGTTATCGCATGGGTTACTAGATAAAAAGCTTCTTAATGCATAATAAACAACTTGACAGGACGTCAAACCCAGTGGCGTACGCAGATTTTTGCTAAAAAAATCACTATTAATATGGATTTTGGATTTTTCAGCCTCTGAATGTGATCTAGTAGGCCTTAGTTTTAAAAAAAACTGGATGCCGCTTGGTCCCAAAATACACCTTTCCAACATCCGCACATCAAAAAAAATTTCATCAAAATCGCTCCATAAATAAAAATGTTATGAGGGTGGCCCGCTTTCAAATGGGGCACCCTGTATATACAGGGTATCTTGATGCATTTGCGGAGCCATCTGCCATATTGGTGATCACTACGTGACCTGCTGCGATTTTATTTGAGGGCTGATTTTTCATGAAATTGTATTAGGATTTTCTTATGTAAAATCTGACATAGTGACTTAATTCAGCATCCCGTACCTCAAGTTCCTTTCATTACTTCATTACTAGCTCTGTAATTTTTTTATGAAACCTAAAATTTTAAAAATATATAGGTTTTTGTTTCTGTCAAAAAATTTAATGCGTTGGAACTGTTTGAAAATGGCAAAGTAACGGTGAGAAAAGTTTAATAAGTCACTTTACTAAAAAATATTAGTTTTTTGTTTTTATGAGGAACATTTTAATTATAGTACTTAATACTAAAATAATTTATATAAAAACAAAAGGGTATTTCTTTAATTTTTTTTAGTTGCAATGACTAAACTTTTCTCGAAAAAATATTGTGTAGGGCTTTAAATTAATAAAACTTGAGATTCGGGGATTTTAGACTGCTGAATGAACCTATGTTGTTACTTAAAAAAAAATCCCTCATGTGATTTCACAAAAAATCACACTGCAGAATAGAATAAAAACAGGCCACATTAAAACATTCTGTGCTACAAAAAAATACATTGGTACTGTATATTCCATATATCCCAAAAGAATGAAATCAATGTACATATCGTAGGAGTGTGGTTGACCCCTCGATCATAAAGTGACACCATATGTAATTGAGAATTCCTTCTAGGTATGTGTGGAAGAGCATATTCACCAAGATTCTTATACGTATGGCCGAATGCCAAAATTTCAGTAATGGGTGGTGCCCAAGCTGCAGGCGTGCTTTCTGAAGTCGCTAGCAGAGGTAAAAAGTGGTCACCAAAAGAAAAAATGGATTTTGAGAATACTATTATTGAACAATTTAATAAAGAAGGATCTTCTTACTTTAGTAGTGCAAGGTACTAACATTTTTGTCATTAGTATTGTTTTAAGTTATCAAGTAATATATTTGTTACAGACTTTGGGACGATGGAGTTATTGATCCAAAAGATACTAGAAAAATATTAGGGCTAAGTCTAGCTGCAGCTTTAAATAAAGAAATAGAAGATACCAAGTTTGGAATTTACAGAATGTAAAATATTTTTTAATAAATGTTTATTACTTTTCATGGTTATTTCCGATATATCTGTAATTCTTTTTATTTTAAATAATCACATTTAAATCCTTCATAAATAAACTATGACAATTTCAAATAAATTTTCTAATTAGAAACAACAGTTGTGTCTCGTTTTTCTATTGTTCTCAGATGTTTCTTTCTCATTTTCTTTAATTTCTTTGTGTTTGTAATAACCTGAACTACTTCAGACTTTTTTCTATTTTCCTCTTGGCGCTTAAGGTTTTCTCTTCTTCTTTGTTTCTTTAACTCATTTTCCTCTTCTCGAGCTGCTTTAATTGCATTTGATGTTTCCTTAACTTGTTTTAACTTTTCCCTAAGGGCCTGTTTCTTCTCAAACGTGCTGCGAATACCTTTAGTTTTTATAATGGCAGAAAATTTAGTTTTTTCGTTTTTCCAAAATTTACCAGATTTTGGCTTTCCTCTTGGAACAACTTTATTTACATTAGTAACTTTCCTACAAATAAAACTTACTATGCAAATTATAAAACTAAACAAATATGAATACCTTTTTTCATTTGGTTTCTTCTGTGGCTTTGTATTTGCATTAGTTTTATTTTCAGACATCTTATAATATTACTTATTTAAACTTTATTAAACAATAAAACATGTTAAACACATAACCTAAGAAAATTGCAATTAGATTTTTGCAATTTTTCAAAATAAAATAACGGAAGATATAAAATGTAGAATCATGGAATAGTAGAAAAACAAGGTTCAAAATTTTTCGTTAACAAGCATATCATTACTGTGATTGACGTTATAGTATGTAATAATGTTATTTTATTATCTGTTTTATAAAATTTTAGAAACAAGCATTTTGTCAGGAGATTTACTTTTTTTTAGAAGCGTGGATACAAAAGTAGCTTATAGCTTCTAATAAATGAGAATACATTTTCTCGAATATTTTCCAACTTACCTAGTATTTTTTTAAATTGATCGTGAGACAGTCAATTAGTGAACGAAGCAATGTTAATTAGAAAGTATTCGACTAGTCTCATTGCACTAAAATCGAATACGCATACTTATTTATTATTTTTTTTATTTTTTTAAGTGCACTGCATGAGCATTATGGCCTATATGCTTTATATTTATTAGCTCTTATGAAATTTATTACTTCTATCAAAATTTAACTGACCCATCGACGTTAAGGCTGATACTTACCAATACCAATGGGATAATTCTGGTTAAGTGGTTAATGGTTAATCAACCAAATCCATACCAACCAAACACAACCACGTGTTTCGTGTTGTTGTGTTGTTGATGTTGACTTGACAGATGTCAGCCTTGTCAACTGTTTCAAAAACAATATTTTGTGGTAGAAATACTGTTTCTATTATAAAAGTAGATAAAATTCATTAATATTTTTTTCAAATGAATGTTGCAGTTGCCACAGTTTTAATAAATTATTAATTATAGAACTTATAATTACGTGCCGGTGTAGCCGCAGCCAGTGAAATTTACCAAGAAAATGAGTTGTTGTATATCCCGCGTGGTTGCAGTGCGATCGTCGCCCGCAAGAACGAGAACGAATTTATTGGAAAAAACGGACTTTCACGTATTAAACCACAAGATCCGTTCGTTAGCCTTGAGCAGTTTACGAAGTGCTGCTAAAGTTAAGGGAAAAATGGTAAGGTATTTAATGTAGCTTGGTGTAAATTATTTGATTAAAGAATATTGACTTTATGAATGCTTTTGTGCAAGAAGTACAGGAATGTTATTTCTTTTGCAGCATGCCAAACTATCTCCTGAGGAGAGAAACACCACCCTGACAGCTGTCTTAAACCAGGGATGGAACTTAGTAGAGAACAGGGATGCTATTTATAAAGAATTCCTTTTCAAAGATTTTAATCAGGTGAATTTTTTTATTATTTTTATTAATCTATAGGTTCGATGAAAAAGAGTAGTGTTTTACTATTTTTTATGTACGTTTTTAATACTTTACACTTGAATATACATTGTGTTAAGCATAATTTTTCAGTATGTAAAGAGAAATGTGTTTACATATCGTTTAAAACATTAATTATTCACAGATAATAACTACTAGGTCATGTGCCCTTTTAATTATTATGTATATAGATAAATTCATACACAAACAAAATATACATACATATTTGTTTAATACGGTAAATCAAAAAATGTTTAAATAATTTTTAAAATTGTTTTGGAATTCTAAATAAATATGATTTATATTTTAAAACAAATTTCGTATGTAAAAAGTTGATGGTGAATCTACACCATGATTTTTCCAACTTATAATTAAAAAAGAATGTTGGTTTTATAATTATTTGGCATTAAAGATTATTAATAAACTTGAAAATCAAATCAATGACAACGCGCATTAAAAATTGTTGCTGGGTTAAAGGAAGGAAATCTAAAAAGGTCATAAACATTTTAGGCTTTTGGGTTTATGTCACGTGTGGCATTACTGTCTGAAAAAATGGATCATCACCCAGAGTGGTTCAATGTCTATAATAAGGTACAGGTAACCCTCTCTTCCCATGATGTCAGTGGGCTAAGTGGAAGGGATTTGAAATTGGCCAACTTTATGGAGGACGTAGCAAAAAGTATTAAGCCCTAAGTATTTGCCTCCAATTTGAAAATGGCTGTTTGTGGTGATTCAATGTTCAATAGTTGTTATGTTCTAAAATATATGTTATATATTTATGCTACTTATTTTGCTGCTTCCTTTGCAGAAAAAAGGAGGGAAATGTTAAAAATCTAAAAGATGTAAAATTGTTGATTTTAAAATGTTTTTAATATTTACTTTTGTATACAAAAATTAAGTAAAATAAACCTATATCACTCAGTAACAGTCTCTGTTATTCAACACTCAATTAAATTTAATCTGTGGAGGAGGTAACACTAGATTTTAGAGGAAAATTATCAAACCGCACCCTTTTGTATCTGGAGAATAATAAGTCCCTTAATTCTATGCTGTGCAAGTAGTCCCTCGTTTCACAAACCACTTTCACCTGAAAGAAAAAAATTAAAAAGTCAATCAATTTTAAATTAGCAACTGGATCATCTTATTTAATTGTGGTCACTATTTTTTTTCGACACTGCTTAAAAATAGGTCAAATGTTAAATAGGTAAATGTGTTTTTATATCTCGGAACCCTGTTGTACGAGAATCACTAAATTTGGTACACATGGGTTTTATGACGTGTGGAATCTTATAGTGCTATGCTTTTTGGCGGGGAACCCTGTTAAGACACTTTTTCCTGGGCCCCCTTGTCTTTGGAACCAAAAAAATTTGGTTGCATATTTGAATTTTTTTAAAATTATTAGTTCCCCTAGAAAGCCATTGATTTTAGAAATTTTTTTGTCTCTTAATATTTTTTTCGTAAAACGCAATGTTTTGAAGGAATTTAGTAATATCGGAATAATTTGAAGGTAATTATTTCATACCGAAATATCAAAATGGTTGTTTCAGTTTAAAATAACTGAGATATAAGGGTGGCTCCATGAAAAGTGAAATACAGTGGGTATTAACTTGAAAATTTTTTATGGAAAATTATTTTTTTATGCATGACAAGTTAATCAAATGATTAAATGAAATACAACATACCTCTACACTAAAAACATCTGATGCTACCCAGGCCCTTTCGTGTATAACATCCTTAATAGAAACTCCTATAGATCCTATTAGTTTACATAGTTCCGATATCCCTCCAGGTCTGTCACTAACAGTAACTTTGCATTTCACCAAACGGCCATCGGCAGCAAGGCCCCTTTCTAAGCACCTCCCAAGTATTGTTGTGTCGATATTTCCTCCACTCAATATTAAAACCACCCTAGCAGAAAAATTTGACAGAAATTGAACTGCATCTCATGCATGTTGTACCTTATTTATTTAGTTTTATAACATTAAAGCAATGTTTCTCAAACACACAGCAAGGCAAAATATTTAAGAAAAAAAAAGCGTGTTAAATAACCACTTAGAAAAATAATTTTAAATGTTATATGAGGTATATTTAACAGTACCTTACCTTTTACCTTTAAATTCATCTAACTGTCCGGCTAAAATTGCAGCTAAGCCGCAGGCCCCGGCGCCTTCAACAACACATTTTTCATTTTCAATGAACCTCAGAATTGCCACTGCTATCCACTCTTCTTTAACAGTCACCTAATATGTAATAAAATAGTACATAAGAAATGTTATGTAAGCTAAAAAAATTTCTATGTTCACTAGGTAGATCCCAACCAGCAAAACAGTTTTATAATTTTCAGGTTATAGGACAATTATGTTTTATTGTATTATTATTATTGCTATCGAAATGTAAATTTGTTTTATTATAGCTACAAGTACCATTATTTTGTTGTCAGCAACTGAAATATTTTATAAATTTATCACAAGAACGTTTTAGCAGCTAAATTTTAAAACAGCTTATATGGCAAATATACAACTATATTATAAACATTTCTGTGACAAGCTTATAAAACATTTTAGCTAATAAAACTAAAGTATTTTATAACAATTTTTTAGTAAGGTTCCACAGTATTTCTAACCGAGCTATAAATAAATAATATAATTGTTTCTTAGATGTGGGTCGTCAACCTATAAAACTATTATATTAAAAGGTACTTTGAAACAATTTCTCTTGTATGAGCAAATAGTTGTATTATACACTATAATATAGTTATTATGTAATGATATTATCAATTTTAAAACAAAATACTAATATAACAATTACAAGAGAAAAACGTTGAGTTTGACTCAAAATTACATTGACAAACCATTCTATAAAACAAATTTGAAACAGCAAAATGGTGGGATATTGTTTTGTGTCACAGCGAACGGTAAAAGTCTAGTTTTATCTTTTGCTTCAGCTTTCACAGTCGTATAAAAATAAACATGTCAGGTTTAAGCCAGTGGAAAAAATCAAAAGAAGTGACATATTTAGAAGAAACGTCAAATGTTCTAGAAATAATTCTACAATGAAACATTTTAAATAACAAGGAAAGAAGTTTATTTTTTTATTTGCCTGGCAGTCTCTGTGGATGGTGTTTGATACTAGGCAGTTTAATTAAATAATAGGTATAGTTTTCTGTTGGCCAGTTCGTTTACAGAGAAGCAAATGCTTTAATTTTTTTCCTCTACATTAAAAATTGTTTATTTTGATTTGTCATTTTTATTACTAAACCATACAATTTACATAATTTTAAAATTAATTAATTTCCTTTTTTAATTAGGTATTTATTAATAATATTGAGGACTCTGGGGACAGATGCCTCATAATTTTTGCTAGTCTGAATACCAAATAAGGACAATTTTGATATACAAGGAGATTTTTGGTTTAGGAGAAAATGATCATTTTAACCAACTAAAATAAAAAATTATTATTTTTTTAAGAAAATATATAATTTTTAGTTAAATTTGAAAAACATTAATTGATTCAACTATTCAAAATCAGTATTAATTACATTTTGTGATTTTATTTATTCACTTTTAAAATTTTAATTTAGTTACTTTTAAGTAATCATTATATTTACAGAGCAAACCAAATTTGATTGTATAGGGACTTCAACAACTCTTAGAAATAGGTACTGAAAAGCTTATATGGACAAAAATAATGCAGAATTTAATGCCTAGCAGCATTCCTATCTGCTTGCAATTTGTCAAAAAAAAAAAAGGATTTTTAGAAATTAGTTATAATTTTGGTTTGTAGTCTTTCTCAAAAAGTCTTCAATTAATCAGATGTATATAATGTATATATGTTTATATATATGTTAATATGTGTATATGTTTGCGTATATAATATCAAACAAACTATATAAATACTTAAAAAACAAGTTTTAAGAATTTTCAATTTTTTTCTAAATAAAATCCAAACAAATAGAAATATTGTTTTTTTCTTTTCTTGTTGATATAAGACTAAAATTATGTTGTACATTACTCATTTAAGTTTTTCAATATATGTACTTATCTAATAGTTTGTACAATGATAAATTAGATGTAGTTCAGTATAGTTTAAAAAACCGAAATAGGAATGTTAATAGCATAAACTAATTCTTAATGGCAGCAAACTAAACTCATACAATACAGGTGGTACAGACAAATGCCATAAAATTAGTACCTAGTTTACTTTTCAGCGACTTGGAAAAAAATTCCACGAAAATTTAACGGTCACATAGATTTCTAATAGTGCTGGCAAAAACCGGAAAAAAGTGAAACCGGTTAACCGACTATTCAAAAAACCGGTTTCAGTTGCCAGCACTAATTTCTAAGCACTATTCAGTTTTTTTATCCACCAAAATAATAAGAATTGATATGAGGAGGTGTGTTAAAAATGATTTCCAAGTAACTGTACTTAATTATTTTACCTTTTAAATCACTGGATGCTTAAATTAAGTCATTGATTGTAAATTATTACCATTTTGTCTACTAGATTTTTAGACGTTTCCCAGGCATTGTACCCTATCATTGGAACAGCTAAACCATCTGCAAGAGTACCTTCTATGGCTGTAAAGACTGGTTTTTCATTTTCTATTGCTTTGGCGTAACTAGCACACCTTTCAGATTCAACTCCCTACAAATTGAGTATCTATATTTACAAAAACCTCATACTGTACAATTTATAACATACTATGATTTTTATATTTGGATTTAATGTTTTAATTGCAACAGCAATTCCAGCCAATAACCCTCCTCCTCCCGTAGGTACTACAACGGCATCGATGTCTTCTACTTGCTCAAGTATTTCTAGACCTATTGTTCCCTGTCCGGCAATTATTTGAGGGTTGTCATAACTAAAAGAAATACGTAATAAGTAGGTGTACAAATATACAATTAATTGTTTTTTGAAAAACTTTTCAACTTTGTTTGTATTATGCTTAAAATATTCAGAAAATCTAAAATAAGTCATATTTTGAAGAGAAAATTTCATGCATCTGTCCAATTTCACATTTCCAATTCAAAATTGAATTCTATGTAATATATATTTTTAATTATTAATCTTTGGTTTTTGTATTTGAATATTACATTCTACAGAAAAAATCAGGAGGCACAATAGCCTTTATTAAAAATATTCTATCCAAATCTGTATAAGATCCAATATCATATGTCTTTTTTTTTCTTAGCACTTAAAATCTCTAATGCCGAAGTTACTGGTTAGTTTTTTTCGATTTAGACACCACACTGTCATTACATCATAGACAGTAGGTATCCAGTATCCACATATCCCAGAAGTTTGGAATGAAATTCATAAAACTTTTATTATCTATTTGTTTGCAAAATATTGGAAAATCGATTTTATTTTTTGTTCTGCACTTTTTAATGTGACGCACGTATAGGCAACGGATAGTCGCATTCTAGATATGACGTCATGCCAATTTTTTTTAAATAGCAGGGTATATGGAGGGCCGGCTCACTGGATAGCCCTTTTAAACATTTATTCCCTGATGATCAATTTTCTTTAATATCTCAAATAGTTTTTGAGAAATTGCACTTGAAAGCCTTCTGATGTTTACATTTTGTGATGTTTGACGTTTCTCGATACCTCAAATGGTTTTTAAGAAGTGCCTCAGAAATCTTCATTTGTTCATTCAATTCAAGCGTTAGAAGATTTTGAAGCTCAGTTTCTCAAAAACTATTAAAGATATCAAGGAAAGTCAAACATCAGGAAATTCTTGTTTAAAAGGGCTATCAAACGAGTTGTCACTTCACATATCTTTACGTTACATCAAAAAGTGCGGAAAAAAACAAAATCGAGCTGTTCCGGCATTTTGAAAAGAAATACATAATAAACCTTTTATGTTTTTTTTTTCTAAACTTTTGGAACATACGGTATTTTAACTGATGATTTGTAATTATAAAATTAGACATACAGTAGGTATACTGTCCACTTGTTGATAAGTCGATAAAATTCAATGTAGAGAGGATTGGAGCAAATATTTGAAATGAAATAATTGATACATCTTTTACTGTAGCATACATACTAAAAAGCAATTCATAATTCAATTAAATTACTCCTTGAGAAACGAAAACGTTCTCTAATTGGCTGACAAAGATATGTGACAACAAACCCGGAAATTTTTGAAAGCATAATTTCGCGCCGATTTAATAAATTCATCAAAATTAAAAACAATATTTTGCTTGGGTAGTGAAAAGTACATAAGTATATAATTTTTTATATGTTTATTTTTGATATTTTGATCAAAACGACATAAATTTACCGCAAATTGAAATAAATAAACACCCATTGTATATTTTTAAGGTTTAACTAAAATTTGTACTTATTTGATCAAAGCAATCAACGAAAGCAGAAGTAACTGCATATCACAAAGAATATAGCTACGCAGTTATTTTGTTTGTATAAATAAGCATTTGCATAATCTAAGAAAGATTAACAATTTCGTCAAATAATTAAATTTAAATATACTGCTCAGTCCTCAATATAAAAAACATTCCTTCAAATCACATTGGCATTTATAAATTTACTGACAATTTTATAAATGATGTCATAGTTTTTGTAGACATTAAGATTTGATGATAAGTCGTTGAACCTTTTCGGTGTCATAGAAAATCTTAAATATGTTTTTATTTTTAACGGTCAGTGCAGAAAATGACCTATCTCAGAAGTACACGAAGTCACTGATGGTCCAATATTGGTAACATATCATGCAAAAAACATTATCAGGCATTTGTAAAACATTCACAATGTCCTACAAATTTATCAGTTTTTTATTTTTTGTCTTGTACACGTCTAAGAATCATAACGTGAGTTTGTTTTTATCAAAGTCTGACCCGTGAAAAACCTCATCGGCATTTGGTTCTTCTATAGCAAATAATGCTAATCGCGAAATCTTTTCGATAATATCACTTTTAAATCTGTCATTTAGTGAATTTACGGTGACGTTAATTATTTCAAAAAATAATTGCCTCTGCATATTTTCTGGCTTTTGAAAAGCATATGTACCACCATCATAATGCCTAGACATCTTCATAACTCTAGGTAAAACTGGTTCATCAACGTTTAATTTCTGTTTCTGTGCTTCATATCAGTCCACAAAATGCAAAAGCCATTTCTCTGAAACAACTTGCTTATACATTTTCCATGTACAATTAAATGTTTCGACAAAACAATGATTTGCTTTGAATAAATATTAAGCTGATCAACTCTATCAAACATCGGAAATCATTATTGCCTTCAATAATAATAAAAACTTGAATTGAACTGGCAAGATACTCACTATAGTTTTACCACACGCTTCCCTGTTTTCTTTAAACATCTCTTAAAAATAAACAATAAAAGTACATTGTAAACTAATGTTTTTAGAGATATGATGCCCATATACAGGGTGTTTCTGAAATAAGTGCGTTCCTTGAAAAGGATGATACAGGGCACGAAAATGATGAACTTTTATTAAGAAACTGGTGGTCCAAATCCTATTGTTTTTTAGAAAAGTAATTAAGAAAATTAACCATAAATGTAAGCCGATCTTGTACATCTTGTGCACGTGCATGGATAGAATGCTTCGGACTCGCTATAGGCGTGAAGCACTTCTCTAATTGGCTGACGTTCCAGTGATTTCCACAATCAAGTAAATCTGATGGTAGGTCAGTGTTCTTTAGTTGTATGTTGCAGTATTACTTAGCCGGCGTATAAAATGTTTTCTGATCAAGAACTAGCAGATATGGTGTTAATGTACAGAGAATGTACAATTTAAATTAGACTTATAGTTTGTATGCGGTTCGTTACCGTAACAGACGTCAAGAAGAATAGTGCAAAAGTCAGTTCAAAGGTTACGGGGTANTGACCCGTGAAAAACCTCATCGGCATTTGGTTCTTCTAAAGCAACATCGTTTCGATATTCTTAACTATAGGTAAAAGTAGTTCATCAACGTTTATTTCCTTTTTCTGTAGCTTCAGTCCACAAAATGCGAAAGTCATTTCTCTGAAACACTAAACTTGCTTATATATTTTCCATGTACAATTTACTGTTTCTATAAAACAATGATTTGCTTTGAATAAATATTAAGCTGCACAACTCTATCAAACACGGAAATCATTATTGCGTTCAATAAAAATAAAAACTTGAATTGAACTGGCAAGATACTCACTATAGTTTTACCACACGCTTCCCTGTTTTCTTTAAACATCTCTTAAAAATAAACAATATTGACCATAAATGTAAGCCGATCTTGTGCATCTTGTGCACGTGCATGGATAGAATGCTTCGGACTCGCTATAGGCGTGAAGCACTTCTCTAATTGGCTGACGTTCCAGTGATTTCCACAATCAAGTAAATCTGATGGTAGGTCAGTGTTCTTTAGTTGTATGTTGCAGTATTACTTAGCCGGCGTATAAAATGTTTTCTGATCAAGAACTAGCAGATATGGTGTTAATGTACAGAGAATGTACAATTTAAATTAGACTTATAGTTTGTATGCGGTTCGTTACCGTAACAGACGTCAAGAAGAATAGTGCAAAAGTCAGTTCAAAGGTTACGGGGTACCGGAAATGTCCACCTGACATATGAGAGCCGCAACATGTTTTCGACAACGAAGAAAACATCATAAACCTCGTTGATGAAGAACCGAGGCGCAGTATTCGCGACATTGACCGAGAAGTGGACATATCTAACTGTACCGTGTGATGTGTACTACGGAAACAATTATTGCACCCTTATCATGTACAAAGGGTTCAGGTATTAAATAAGAATGATTTTCAACCCCGTGTGAAAAATTTCGCCAGTGGTTTCGATATCAAATAGCACAAGATCCGGATTTTACAAGCCAGGTGCTTTTTACGGATGAATGTTTTACTAGAGACCTATATTAAATTTTCACAACATTCACTATGGCGTTGTGTGTGATACAAATCAGTCAATGTGTGGTGTGGTGTTTTTTGTGGACGAATTTTGATCATCGTTTGGAAGCATGTTTCATTAACAAGTAGAGAAATTATCTTATTTAAGACGTCGTGATAAACTCACTTATATTTACTGCATTAGGATTTAATTGACATTTTATGCCCTGAGAAGAACTAATTGGTGAATATTGGATGATTCATCAGTGTGATCTCTAATATCCGACCCTTTCTGACTGATTTTGTAAAGATGTTATCTGACGAGCTGTTAATATATTTTTAAAAATAAAAGACACTATTGGCCCTTTTTTTTCAACGACTTTGATGATTTTAAATACATAATCGTTTTAGTTTCGTTTCTAAGTATTTTGGCGACGAGAATGAAAATTTAACAAGTGAAGACATTCAATGCCCACTGAAATATTTATTATATTGTCTAAAACTATTTACTTCTGGCATTTCTATTCTTTTATCATCATAATATATGATCTATCATTTCTTTATATGTGAGTGCGATGCCCTGAATCAGGTCCTGGTTTTTATGTCATGTACGATTTACTCACGGACCTTACATAATGTATTCTAATATTTTAAATTTGCCCTCGACCAACCCTGTTCCCCCCTCTCCTTGGTTTCCGGGTTCGCGGCGCCCGTGCTATGAATGAAACACCCTATATTTGACGTATGATGGCCTGATTTAGATTGTTCCCACATTTGTAACGAATTAGAAAGCATTGAATACGTACCCATTGATATAAGTTAACCCTTTTTGTTTAGATAGTGCCACCGCTATTCTTTTCGCCTCGTCCATATCCTTGCCTTCCATTATAACGTTCGCGTTGTAATCTCTGCATTTTTGCATCTTCATGATGGGTGCTATTATGGGCATAACCACCGTCACGGGTATACCCAGCAAATAGCCGTGATAACAGACGGCCTGAGCATGGTTTCCAAGAGAAGCTGCTATCACTCCCCTCTGTCTCTGTTCCGGCGACAACATCATCATGGCGTATCGCGCGCCCCTTTCCTTAAAACTACAGAAACACGATAAGCCTTCCAATTATTATTCAGGAAGTATTAGAATTATACTATACTCGAAAGAATTTTACTCTGATAAAATATGTGCGGACAAATTACTGAAATCCTGAAATCCTGAAATAATTTAATAACGTGCTATTCAAATGTGTTAAAGCCTAGGCCAAATATTCATACTTTTACACGTAAACATACAAATCATTTATAAAAACTGTTTGCAAACATATGCCTAAAAACATTTATATAAATGCATCTTTGGAAAACAAACGTTTTAAATACATTTGCCCGCGAAGAACTAGTGTGGACATGTCTATTCACAAACATGGGCAAATTAGAATCAGAATACTGCAAATCTAAATTTTGAATTAAATTCTTTAATGCTAGATGTTTAAAATTATGTAAATTTAAATTTTGTTAGATAATCAAGAACGCATTGTGACGTCATTTAGTGCGACCAAGAACAAAGCCTGTTTCTCGTCCGCTTATTTTTTGCTCTATTATTTTTACCACATGATTATACATATAGGGTTATAAATTATTTCTAGACATTTATAAAAAATATAATATAAAAGTTGTCCATTAATTCTTGTTTCGAATTCAGTAGGTGTCATTCTCAAAAAAATCACTATAGATTTCCAAGTTTCCTAACAGATTTTCAGGATGTACTTATTCAGTCCTGAAAAATGTCATCCTCAGACGTGTTTTATTACTCTGAAATTCAGAAATAGTAGCGTGCAAAAATTTATTTGAAATATTGAAACCGAATGAATAATATTTTTCGACTTCTGTTATTTTTCAGAGGCAAACAAAAAACATTTCATTCACTATTGGTTTTGTTTACGGGCAAATGTTTTTGTTTTTGCATCGGGCATTTGTTTAAAAACATTTGGATGTGAACATTGGTTGTAGATATTTTTAGAATCGGCCATGAAAGTTTGTTGCAATGTCCCTGTAGAAGGCAACGCCTTGTTGCATTTACTCTTTCAGATATTCCACAGGGGTCCATTTTAGGACTGTTTTACAAATTGATTTAGATTATAGTTAAAAACAACGTTGCAGAAATACTAACATTACCTTCCAGTTTGCTGTAAGAAATCCTTTTTCAGATATATATCCATTCCTGTTAAACTTGATAAGTGCGATCTCTGAAATTAAAATATTTAGAATTTATAGATCTTAGATGTTAATACCGATGCACCTTCCCTTCCACTACAACTTCTACAGAGTTACAAGACTTAGAAAGTATTAAACAGTAAGCATTAGATTTGGCTTAAGATATTTTACAATTTTGAATGTTCAAAAAGACAAAGAAAAATCTTATTTATTTTCAACAGTTCTATCACCTAATAGTATTTCCGGTTGCAATAAAATTGACAATCAATAATTAAAATCTGTAAAAGTAAGCACCAAACCTGCCTAAATATACTTTTTGAGCGTGGAAAATTAAAAAATAATTTATCTCAAAAAAAATCAAATATCTCTTAAAATTAAGACTTTTAGTCTAAAATTAAACTGTTTCTTTAATGTAGAAAAAACTCACTATACATGGCGTGTGAACGATACCACTTCTGATCCTATAGGCAGCTGAAGTTATTTCTTCAAATGAGATTTTGACTGGCCTTTTTGGATTACATACTGGATCTTCAACAGAATCTTCTGATTCCTGAAATATAAAAGCATAATATTTATATTTCAACGCGCCGTTATCAGAATAAATGTAATACAACAGTTTTTGAATTTTTCTTTTGCAGATTTAATAGTTTTTTGGTAAAGTGGTGCCACCAATTTTCTAACTAACGAACATATTATTTTTAAATAAGTACATAATATTATATAGTCGTATAATACACACGCAACTATACAGGGTGATCTGTAACGATGTGCCAAAAAACACAGAATTTTCTTAAACTTCTGATCAGTTGGTTCAAAATATGGAGGAAAGTTCTAAACATTGAATGTGTAGTACAGCTCGCTAGGGAATATAATTTAGTGGTATTACCGAAGAAATTAAGTAACCATAGTGACGTGTGACATTTTTATAAATAATAAAAAAATTTTTTGATCACCCTATATAATTTTTGGAAATAACAGTCATTCGTCACAAAAAAACTTTACACTTCACAGGTATGGTTTTAGAGATAATTACAGTTTTCGATGTCTCTGATTAAAACAGCAAAAGATTACTTAATACACAAATTAATAACAATAACAACAAATACAAGCTACATAAGAATATTCACTTAGAGGCTTAAAAAATACAGTTAACACTAGAATTTGTTAATTGGGCTCTTGCAGTGAAAGAAGAAAATGATAAATTTTTTAAACAAAATCATCTTTACTGATGAAGCTCATTTTACAGGTGGTAGACATATAAACAAACAAAATTGTCGTATCTCTACAGAAAACCCAGGAGTAGTAATGGAGCAAACTATGTCACAAAAAGTAACTGTTTGTTGTGATCTGGTGGAATGAATGGCCCATACTTCTTCAAAATGAAGCTGGAAACGTTGTAACTGTGAATGGTGCTCGATATCGAACTATGATTTTTATGTGCAGAATATGTGGTTTCAACAGGACCGTGCAACATGTCCTACAACAACGGAAACACTCGATCCTTTGAAACAGTTTGGAAATCGAATGATTTCTCGATTAGCAGATGTTAATTGGCTATCAAGATCATGCGATCTATCACCATTAGACTTCTTTTTATGGCGTTTTTGAAAAGCAAAGTTTATGCTGACAATCCTCAAACCACTCAACATCTTATAGAAAACATAATTGAGCAAATCACTCAAATTCAATTCAACCCTATTATGTGAACGCGTGACGGAAAATTTTGCTAAAAGATTGAAGGCTTGTAGAGTTACAAGATGATCTCTTTATTTTCCATTATTAACTGTCACATGTTTACTTTAATATTCAATAAAGATATTATCCAGTTACTTATTTCGTAGGAATTATGCGTTTTATTAAAAAAATAAAGAGTTAACTCAAATTTGAAAACCCACTATAATTATAATCAAATGAGTAGTGATAGCAGAACCGTTGATATACGAATTTATTTTAAGAGATATATCAAATAAAAATAAGACAAAATTATACCTTTATCCTTAACATACTTACATACATAGCAGTCGAAGAAATAGGACGCTTCATCCTTAACCTCATACCTACTTAATTCACAAAGGCACTATCGAACCATGTATTTGATTGAGTGAAGCAACCGCAAATAACACTTCTTGTACTAGGTTAAACGGGTCGCCAATATTATCTCTTAGCGCGATACTTATAGAAAAATTTAATTAATGTAAATAAATATATCAGTTTTGCTTTGACGGGACCCCATGGTTATTATTATTATGTGTTTAACCCTTGACTTAAATCCAAACTGTCCAAGTGTTATCTTTATCATGTGACTGGAATGTATGTATGTTTAATTCGTTTTGCATACAGCAGTTTTCATTTTAGAACAAATACTTAGTTTTTTCCCGGAATAATTTTTTTTGGTCACAATTTTATCATAAATTTTATCATGAATCAGGATTTCAAGATTTGTGCCTATTCATTAGATTATATCGCGAACGTTATTAATCCAATCTTTCTTATTTTAAGAGATACAGAAATGGTTAAATGGGCACAAATACGCAGAATTTTATGCCGATCAGTCGTTTTTAAATTTAGAAAATTCCGAATGGTTCCGAAGATATTCGAAGGAAAGCGATTTTATTTTATTTTCTTTCTATTTTTTTAGTCGTTTTCACTTGTTTTTCAAAAGTATGTAGAAGAAAAACAGAATTATCAACAAAAAACTTTTTTGCAATTGTAATGTTGGCACTGTTTTTATCTCCAAAAAAAAAGCCTAAATTGAAAATGGCATCAGGGAAGTTCCATTATCTTCATTAATGGCTGCGGTTAACGGCTTGACCTCCTTTTTTGTAACACCATTTGTATAGTCAGAAAAATCAACTGGATAATCATTTTCTTTTAGTTCTAAAGTAACTCTGGAACGATCATTTTACATGTGGAAACATGAAAAAAGTTAGCTTTCTAAAAGAGTTTAATTCATAGGAGTATATTCTTTATGAATTACTTTATTGTTTACACAAAGGTATGGGCGTCCGCAGGGCGTGGGGCCAGGGAGGCCGTGGCGCCCCCTGAGATTAAATTTTCTCGTGTTTAAGGTTGAGCTTATATAACAGAAAAATTTAAATAAAAAAATCTTATTGACACTTTTTTATTTGACCTATTTTCTTTTTATAAAACTGTTTATTAGTTTTATGTCTCATGCGTCGGTCGTTTGCATCTGACAACAAAATTAATGTACAAATGCTGAACAATTAATTTATATCCGATAACAATGGTTTAGACGTAATCCTGTGATTATTGTTAAATTTATTTAGTTTTTGTGCTTTAAAACAATGTGAATTTAGTTTTTGTTAACTTTAATAGGTATACTTTATTTTAGTAATAACTCTTTTTGTATCTATCTCTGTTTATAAATGGTTACCCAAGAAGTTTTAGACATGCAGTGTATATGCTGGGAAAATAGAAATTAAACTTTATGATCAAATTTTATTTTCAGTTTTATATCTATGAGACAGGGGTTTTCTTGGACATTAGCAGAAATATTATAAGTTGAATAAAAATCATGTACTATTACTCGTATTTTCAGACGTATGATGGGAAAATACAAATTAAAAAATATAATCTCTATAACATTTATTTTATTATCTAAATTGTACTAATATAAATTCAATACATTAAAATTAAGATGAGAATTCAAGAATAGGTAACCTTAGTTCCCGTCTTAACTTTAGTTTATTAAAATTACATTTTATTTTCCATCATAATTTGTACTGTAATAAGGCTTTTGAACATGTATTAATAAACGGGGTGTTCTATTTAAAATTTTGAAGTTGATTTCACCTGAAAAAAATAATAAAATAAAATTGGATTAATTGCTTGATTGCAGTATATACCAACAAATTGCATTTCCATTACCGTAAACGCTTTTGAGAGGAAATAGGTATTGCCTGTCTAAAATTTCGTGAGATATATGTTTTAAGTTTCTCCTAAATACACATTCATAATTTCGATTTGGCCGCCCTGAGAAATTTTCCTGTGGACGCTCATGCATAAAGGTATCGAGATTTATGCGACGAATTAATGTTCACGAAATTCTTGAATGCTTCATATAATTTAAAATCACTTTGTGTATTGTGAAACATATAAGTTAAGTTCACTGAAATTTCGTTTATGACATTACATAAGGTCAATCTAAAATATACAGCGAAGTTGAAGCCAGATATAGAAAATGTCATTTTAAACAAAAGTTAAGACATGGGCCGTGTAAAGGCGGGTATCCATTTGTGTCAAATGCCCCGTAACGTAACACCGAACATGTTACGTTACAACTAGTGGAGAAGGAAAATTGTTGCATGGTACGTGTAACAAATTTGACACGCGTAACTAATCCGGGACGAACCATCGTTGTCGGTTTTTAGTCGTCGTATCAAAGGGATGCAACAATACGTTCTGCCACCGGGATTACCCTTTTGGCCTAACGTTGCCTATTGCACATGTGATTTTGTCTTATTTTTTGTTTCGTCAGTCTTTTGTATATGGTCTGGGGTCAGTCTGTTTTCTGCAGTGACTAGGAAGAGTGTGTTTTTCTGAGTTTGTGCCGTGGAGTGGAGTAAAGAAAAGATTTCCGGAGACTTATTCTTCAAAATTGTATGATGAATAAAAATATATGACGCTGCTACTAACTGCAATTGCAGTGACGAATCCATTATTGCAGTCAGGTTCATACTGCGAGTTTATGTTCCTATGTCGTCTCGTAACCTTATATTTTGTTACGTTACGAAATGAATGATGCGACCAAAACCACACATACTTTCGCAGCGAACCGTGTCACCTTTTGCAACAGGCCGTAACATGTTCGTTGTTACGTTACGAAGCATTGCCACAAGTGGATACCCGCCTTAAAGCTCTGCGTTACGAGAACGGTCGGACGAAAGTCGTAATTAGATATCTGACCAATCGGCTGAACAGTTGATCGATCACGTGGTACAGTAGAAAGTAGAAATCTGAATTTTTCTTTATCGCATTGGCGGAGATACAGGGAGTAATCTTTCTTTATCTAAAAAATATGTACATGTGACATGGAAAAGTAATGCACGTTTCTGAAAGAGATAAGGTCTCTTGTTCGATTCTGATAATCTGCACTGTTGTCAAGAAAACCGATAATTCATGTTTCAAAGCAGACGGCTATAGGCCAAACGAGTTGGTAGGGTCACAGCCTTAACCAACCTCAAAGAGACATACTCGAAAAATCAAAAGTGTACGGATTATTTTTAAATTTTGTTGATATATTAAATTAAAATAAAACGAAAAATGAAGCAAATATACTTTTCAGTGTCCTATTGAAGGTTCATGAAATTTGGAATTCAATAAAAAACATGCAAACCTCTATCTCGGACAGCATGGGTTTTATCATCAACAATGTTCATATCAACTTTTTTTTAATAATTCTATTTAGAATAATGCACAAATAAAATTTTTAAAGCAATTCATCTCACTTTGGATTTTTGGAGAGGTGGATATTTCCGCTTTTAAAATTTTCATGAACATCTATATTGCCGGTGCAAAATATCAGAATGGAACAGAATACTTACCTTTTTTGTGTTACTTAAAAAATTCTGTCAGCAAAATTAATATAGTATTTTTCTGGGAATACCATGAACATTTTTTTTTTAATAAAGAGCTTTTAATAGCCACTATTGCACAGGGGAAAAAATGAAGTTATTTAAAGATATATGCAATATTGTTTTGGCAACACACTCACTCTGTACCTATCTTAGCAGTTTTGAGCCCTTGTCAACGAGGAACATGTTGTTTCAAATTGTATTTTCTAGTTCCTGTTTCAGTTTAACTACTCGTATATTTTAGATTCACGTTTAATTGCTCCATTTTCTTCGACTTATATTGATTACGCACATAACATATCACAACACTGTTAAACTTGATTGAGCATAGGTATAAAACATTTAAAAAATTTTACAAAAATTAGGTACTTAATCATTAACTAATCATTTTATGACATATTGGATATTGGTATATTAATATGTATGATTTGTCCACAGAAGAAATATGTTTTCTCCGTTTCTGTATCACATTTGCAATAATCTATAATTAAGGTTATTAATGACAAAGATATGGGAATATGTTTTTCTTATACAAATTAGATAACACGCCTTATGTTAAATAACTAAATCTAAAAACACAATGTTTTTGTTAAGTTGTTTACTGAATAGTCATTACGATTTTAAATATCAATAGTTATACTTACGTTGGTATCTGTGTCGGAATTATCCGGGGAAAAAGTATAGTTCTCCATTTCCTTCTTTAAAAAAGCACTACCAGAAAGTACCTACGTTCAACGAGCAAAGCTTAGCTGTTACGACTTAAGAATATAAGAATGACCTTTACTGCTTATAAATAACACTCTTATCGATATTTAATAAGTGTGCGCAATAATTAACTTCATAGTTGATAATAAATATTAGATTTAAATTTAAATAAATTCTAAAATTAGGAAATGTACTTACCCATATTTTATTCTATATGAGTTTCTATAATTATTGTTAATAACTAACCTACCTGCAAAATACCCACATTAAAGGATTTAACTTAGGTACCTTCCAACGTAAAGATGGTGAGTTGATTAAACACCATAAGTAAGTATACACTATGGAAAATGAAGCCTAAACTACATATAATAGAATATCGAATACAATTAAAAATACAAAATATTTATAAAATTCTGCAAAAATCAGAAATTTAGAAACAAAGTAAACAAAATATCGAATTTAGATAGTTTTAGCAATTTCCGCCAGATCTTACAGGTATAAATAATTTAAAATATTTTATAGGTATTATACAAGCATTTATTTTTATTTCCTGAAATGTAAATAATGTTGCCTATCTGAGAAATTCCGTCACAAAGGTAAACACACAAAATATAATACAGGCAGACATCTCTCTTCCGTATGTCATTCTTCCGAATTAATTAAACAAAAATTTCGAATAATGTGTTGTAATTGCTAATTGCATCCTATGATGGATTTTATTTTATAATGGTTCATTGAAAAATTTAATTTGGTTTGGCATTTGCGTATGCTTAAAATACAATTTTTAAATTTGTTTGCCGTTTGAATAATGGCGTGTTTAAAACTCTATTGCGAGTTATTCGTGCGTACTGCGTTTATTTTCAGTCTATGCATGCTATGATTGCTAATTATGTATAGTCAGAAACAAGAGACAAAGTTGTTTTTGCAGGTTAGCTAACTTATGGCTAATTTGCCCCTAGAGTATCACCATAGATTAGAGATGAGTCTAAATGCGGTTGGTGTAGGCGCTTTGTGGGACCTCCTTTTGTCCTGGCTGAGCCCCGCCGGCTAGGGCCCTTTCTTCTGGCGCTCTTCTTGCTTCGCCGGCTCGTCTGTGTAAACCCCGGGGGTGGTGTCATGTTATGTGTGGTATGGTTGGATAGGGTAGTGCGGCTATGCAGCCTGGGATGCGCTTTGCTAAAGTGGCCCTTAGGTTAGCGCGGGTGGGAAGGGGTAATTAGGGTATGGGGGGTGTGTATGTGTGTGTGTGGGTATCGTTGTCTTCGTTTCTTGGTCCTGGCGGTTTCTGAAGCAAAAAAGGTTAGCGAGCAGGGGAGGGGGGGATGTCGTTGAAGTGGTCACCCAGGGTCAAAAAGTTGGTGTCTAGGTCTTTTGAGCCAAAGCCGACATTCTGACTCTTTTTTGATAAGAACTTAAAAAATTACGTTCAAATCTATATGTAAAATACACAATAACACTTTAATCACGTAATGGATATAACAAATCGCGCGTGATAAACCTGCAAATGCATCTTGGCCCTTTAATCTCTCTCTCTCTCTCTACTCCATAGTATAAAATCAAATCAATGTTCATTGGTCACCACCAATGTTACCATCAGTCACGGTCCGTAAAAAAGGCCCTTTACGGACCGTGACCATCAGTCACCATTCAACACAAGTCAAATTTTCCAATTTTTGATTTGAGGTTAACTGGTCAACTTGTCTGCCTTTTTAATGTAATAAATATGGAAAAGAAACTGAAATTGAGAAATATTTTAGATATAAGGAAAAGTAAATTTCGAACAGAAACTTATCCAACAAGAACTTCTGAAGAACAGGTAAATAAATTATTGTGGCAATGTTAATACTTTTTATTGTGTTTTGTCATTTTTGCAGGCTGATGTTGAAGATATAGTGTTAAGAAAATATGAAGATTTGCATATAAAATTAAAAATTAACCCTAATTTACCTGAACTTTTCAAAGAACAACATACAAGATTTTTAGTGGAGAGTATGGTGTATTTACCTTCAGCGTATGAGGTGATTGTTAATTTATATTGATTTATAGTTTCCATAATCAATTATAAATCAAGATATTGTTCCGTTTCAAAATTCATTGTGATCATAATGAAAATACTCCTATATAACAGTAAAAATTCTTTAATGCATTTTTTGATACGTTTTTACAATATATTGCGTCCGAGCAATTAATCAAATTTTCAATATAAACTAATTTCAACACATTATCACTTTATGGTAGGTAGCGGTTGGATTACGGCGGTTAATGAGGCATCAACTGCTATCACTCCATTGATTTATAATTTGATATTTAAATTTCATTTTAAGAATATAAACAATTTTTATGGAATAATTGTCTGCAGAGTCTCGATGCTAGTCGACCATGGTTGTGTTATTGGATTTTACATCCCTTATCGTTGATGGGAGTGAGATTAGAGGATACACAAAAAAGTCATATAGCAAAATTTTTAGGAAGGTAAGTGTATTAGAAAAATTACGTTTCATGTTACATCTTAACGTCTACGATATTAATTATTTGTTTACAATGAGCAATGAAAAACCGTTACGTATATGCTTGAGATAATGCCATCGCTGATTGATTGAATAAAATTATAACAATTACCAGCCGATGAAACAATGTTGTGTTTTTACATAACTTTGATCTTATTGTTTTAATAATTTTTAATTTTACCAAACTTTAATTGCTAACATGAAGGAAATAATATTACTGTTCCACACAAAACTGGCTACGTGGCTTGTAATCATTTATGAAGGCTGTATTTTTGTTTTAATAAAGATTTTTATATTGTTTGTAATAAAGTTAAATTGCGAATTGTTATATGACTGTTTTAAGATGTCAATGTCCTGAAGGTGGATTTGGAGGAGGTCCAGGTCAGTTCCCTCATTTAGCAGCTACGTATGCAGCTGTGAACGCTTTAGTTATATTAGGAACAGAAGAAGCATATAAAATAATAGACAGGTAAATAGAATTAATACTTTAATTATTGTTCTTTCATCTTAATTGTTTTAAGGAAAAAACTGCGAGATTTTCTCTTCAGTGTACGACAATGGGATGGCTCTTTTGCCATGCATGTGGGTGGAGAAATTGATATTAGAGGTGCGTACTGTGCTTTGTCGGTAGCTAGTCTTACTGGAATTTTGACGCCAGAACTGTGCAAGGACACAGCAGAATGGATAGTAAGGTAATATCTATTTGTAGAGTAAATATTTTCGGTTAGTTTATCTTTTGGTCAATAATTATAATTGAATTTACTGTTTACAATGACCAGAATACACTAATCTGATATTATACAAATACATAAAATAGTGCTGATAATAGAATCATGCAACATTTTTGTACAAAGGAAGCAATTAAGTGATTAGCAATAATCCTAAAAACAATATGCCGGTTTTTGATAAAAATCTTATTTTTGCTTGTCACTTGAGGAATTAAATATTTGAATGATAGTTTTGCATTTAGATGTAACGAATGAAAATATAATTTATTCAGAAACATAATACTTTTGGGGCAAGGTCGCAAAATTGAAATATTTATTCAGAATTTAGTTATCTTAATAGTTTTATTTTATTGGGTGGCTTGACAATCTGCTCTGTTTATTTAATTTTTTTTATTTCTATCTTATATAAAACTGAAGGAAAAACCACTGACCAAAATTTGTTCACTGAATTATTCACTTCTGCACACATGTATATTCACAAGATATTTCAAAATAAGTAGTCCATATTACCACTTGTCATCAGTATTGCAAACACTGAACTACTAGAAAGTGGAAAATGGTTTTCATACATTTGCTCTGCAACAGCATTTTGTCTACATTCACCGTGTATCGGTAACAATTCTCCAAGTCGCGGTTACTATAATTGTGTACCATTCTAATAGACTAACCGTTAATAATAACCCAAACTAATTTTATAATAAACAGTAGACACACTGTCGAAATCAATAATAAAACATTCGGAATTATTCAGTGGTATTAGATAATAAAAGAACGATTGGTCCGACTAAACTATAACAAGTTTTGTGTGTGGGTGAGATGTAACCTACAAAATATGTCATATCTGGATATATAGAGGTTGTTAATTAAGTACATAGACAAATTGTAAAGGGCGATTTTATTTTAAACCAAAAAGGTTACATGTGTCCACAAATTAATAGTTTTCGAGATACAGGGTGTTGAAATAGAAAAAAAATAATTCACCTTTTCTAAACTTTCTCTAAACACGTTTGACATAAAATGGCGAAACTTCGGCTAATGATTTATCTAATTAAAGGTAAGTATCCACTAAATTTGGATGTACGTGTACCAGTGGCAGAGGTACCGGGTGTCGTTAACACTGAAAAGCCCAGAAGGTCGACACCACTGGTTATTTTGAAAATTTAATCACTCTTCTTTTGGTGGTGTGATTTCTTGTAATTTTTCGAACTTTAGAATTATTTGAAAAACGAACCATTTTTTATTTATTATTTTTAAATTTTCAATAACATTACCAAGCACTCCACAAAATGTAAATTACCTCTAGAATTATTCATTTCTAAAAAAAAGTGAATGATATTTTTCTTCTAGAAATACAATTTCAACTACAAATTTGTCAGAATACAAGTACAAAAAATATCGATGGTGCGAAATTGTACATTTTTGTTAGAAGAACCAGAAAAAATTTGCGCCAGTTAGTTTCCCGGATTATATTTTATTCAGAATTGTAATATTTATAAAAAAGGAATAGCTACTTACTTTTTTTTTAAAAACGAATAGTTTCGGTTTAAAATCACTCAAAGAATCACCCCTTTATAATTTGTTTACCTACTTAATTAGCACTCTGTATCATTACTTAAATAGTAACAATGGGCAACAAACGCTGACACTCGGTTGGATTTTAAATGTTAGTTTCCGTCAAACAGTATAGTATTAGAAATAAAGGGTTTTCCAAAAATGGCTTTAGGATTTTAAATGTCTATAACTACACAGTGTTTATTGTGTTTCAGGTGAAATTGTAAATGCGTTAAGGTGATTCATATACAAATCTAACCATGGCACCGCTTTCGACAGAACAGCGTATTGAAGTAATAAAAACTTATTATGGAAATGGTTGGTCCATAAAAGAAACTCATCGCAGAATTCGTGGTTTTTTGGAGCTTTTAATCGTCCTTCTGAACAAGCAATTCAAAATTTTGTGAAGAAATTTGAAGCAACTGGGTCTCTTCAGGACAGACCACATTCAGGAAGACCAAAAACCGCACGATCTGCTGAAAACATTGCCCTTGTACGGGAAAGTGTCGCAAATGATGCATCAATATCTATTCCACGGCGATCTCAAGAATTACGCATTATGCAAACCAGTTTATGGAGAATTTTTCACAATGATTTGCATCTCCACGCGTACAAAATTCAGTTAACTCAAAATTTGAAGGAAACGGACCATTTGCAACGCCGAAATTTTGTTACTTGGATGTTAGAACAAAGAGCAACAGATCCACATTTTGCGCATAAAATAATTTTTAGTGATGAATCGCATTTTACGTTAAACGGTACAGTTAATAAACAAAACTGCCGTATTTAGGGGCAAGAAAACCGTCAGAAGATTCACGAACGACAACTTTATGCACAAAAATGTATGGTATGGTGCGGCTTATGGTCTGGGGGAATCATCGGCCCATTTTTTTTTAAGACAATCACGGCAATGCTGTTACGGTGACTGGAAAATGTTATAATGCGATGATAATAGATTTTTTAGGCCTCAATTAAATGGAATTGACACTAATGATGTTTACTTTCAACAAGATGGTGCTACATGCCACACCACACGAGAAAACTTCGCGTTATTGCACACGAGATTCCCTGGACGTGTTATCTCACGGTATGGTGATGTGAATTGGCCGCCAGTCATGCGACCTGACCCCTTTAGACTTTTGTCTATGGGGTTATTTGAAAAGTAAAGTTTATGCTAATCGGCCAAGAAACATTCCAACCCTAAAAGATAACATTCAAGCTGCCATAAGGGACATTGATGCTCCAATGATCGAAAATATCTTCAACAATTTCAATGCTCGAATCGATGCCTGCCATCGTCGCCGTGGTGGACATCTAAACGACATAATCTTTCACTTTTATTTGTAATTGATGTTATTTTAATTTAAAATAAAGAAACCCAAAATATTCCATACGGTTTGGTTTTTATACAACAACAACATCCTAAAGCCATTTTTGGAAAACCCTTTATATATTTTCTGCAATAAATCTCCAAGTTTATATATAAACCACCCCTATACAGGGTCGGAAAGTCCCCATTGGCCGTTACGCGAGAGCGATAAAGAAAGTCATAGAAATGCGTGCGATAGAGAAAGATGGCTATAATGAAGATGTCTAATAGTCAGCCCATTTCGGCCTTCCACAAATAACAAGTGGATCTTATTTCCACAAATTAGAAGTAGATCCACTTCTTATTTGTGGAAGGCCGAAATGGGCGGTGACTATTAGACGCCTTCATTATAGCTATCTTTCTCTATCGCATGGATTTCTATGACTTACTTTATCGCTCTCACGTAACGGCTGATGAACCATGGGGACTTTCCGACCCTGTATAACACTAAATGCTTAAATTTTTGTGAATAAGAAAGTCATTATTTTATTTGATTTTTAAAGTAGTCGAGTTTTTTCTTATACTTATAAGAAGTGATATTGATAATTTTGTAAAGTAATACCTACTTATAAATATATAATTTTGTTTCTAGTTGTCAAACATATGAAGGGGGATTTTCTGGTTGTCCAGGAATGGAGGCACATGGCGGTTATGCATTTTGTGGCTTGGCAGCTTTAGTCATATTGCAAAAAGGACATTTAGTCGATCAGCAGGCGTTGCTAGTAAGATTCTTTTTATAGCACAAAAATGATGTAAATATGATACGTTAAAATTTAGATTGAAATTTGCGTAATGCGTTGATTATAGAAATTATGTAGGGTGTAACACAACTTGTGTCGCTCATCCAAATTTAGTAATATATTCTTATAGATATACTTTTGCCTTCAAAACCCTACAGGACGTTAAGTAAAAAAAAATATATCTCATTTTCTAAACAAATGAAAATATTATTTTGCCTGATTTCAAATGTATATATGGAGTGCTATTTTAAATATATTTTGTAAAGTCGTTCATATTTTAAAATGATTTAAATTTAATTTTTACAAATTACTAATTTGAACCAAAATAGTGAAAACTATGCAAAAAAGTCGAGATCATTTTTGTTCAAAATAATTTTTTGAGGAAAATATAATCAGATTAGACTTGAGATTAACATTTTTAACTTTGTATGTTCTGCACGCAAAATTTCATTTCAATAGCCTCATTTAATAAGAAGATAATATAAGAGAGAATGTGTTATTTTTTGAAAATTTGGTCAGCCATCTTGGATCCGCTATCTTGAATTTTGCAAAATTGACCTCGTATCCGTGATCAGCGACCCCGAAAACCCCCGTATACCAAATTTGGCCCGAATGTTATTTTTTGAAAATTTGTTTAGCCATCTTGGATCCGCCATCTTGAATTTTGCAAAATTCATCTCAGAACCGTGATCAGCGACTCCAAAAACTCCCGTATACCAAATTTAGCGCGAAGGGGTTATTTTTTGAAAATTTGGTGGGCCATCATGGATCCGCCATCTTCAATTTTGTAAAATTGACCTCGGATCCGTGACCCCAAAAACTCCCGTATATCAAATTTGGCATGAATCTGTTATTTTTTGAAAATTCGTTATATCTAACTTTAATTGACCCATTTTTTTAGGTTAGAAAAAGAGCCATCAATTCTGACCGCGGATTCACGTTCGGCGAGGTCTTAACCATATAAATAAACATTTGAATATAGAAAAAACAATTTTTTGTATTTTTCCTAGCATTTTCATGAATTTTTGCTATATTTGACCTGTTTTTTGAGGTTAGGAAATTCCTTTGATGTGATAGCTCAATTCTGACACCGGATTCGTGATCAGGAGGCAAAAATACTACGGATAACACATGTCGCATAAAAAGTACAGACTACTTTTCTTTTTTGTGTGGCTGTGTTATCTGGTAGTCTAACTTATAGTCATAATAGTTTTATTTTTGACACTTTGTTGAGTTACGCCCTGTATATGCTTATTTCTTAGTAATGTGATGGTATATAACAGTAAAACCTCAACTATCTGAAGCAGCATGAGTGACCCTTAACTGAGATAACTGAAAACTTCAGTTCAAATAATCCAGAGTTTCATTGTAATTTTTTTTTAATTTATTTTTTAATTTTGAACAGAAGGAAAATGTAGGTATTTATTTACAACGCATCTGTTACTTGCTAAAACTATTTATTAAATATAGTATAAACAGTATATCATAGTTGTACATAATAAATATTTTAAATAAAGTAATATTAAGTATATAGGTGGGAAAAAAATTCATAGGGGAGAAACTGCTTCGTATTACTCAGATAGTGGAATTAAACACTCGGGTCATCTGGATCTTGGATAATCCGAACTCGGATACCTGAGGTTATATTGTACATAATATTTGAGAATTTGCTATATTTCAGTGATAGTAATGTATATTTCTTTTGTCATAAAACCACCACTTTCGCTTTTTTATGTTTTATTTTGTTTTATATTTCGTACCAAGATATTAGTTAGAAAATCTTCCTTTTATTTGTGTAAGATAATTATTTTATATACAGGATTTCCCAGAAATAAGTGCCAAAATTGTACCTCATCAAACGCACAACTTTTGTCTTAAAGTTTATTTTTGAAAACCTTTTACTTTTTTAGATAACATATTTTTCCTAATTGTAAATGTTTGTTACTTGCCTTTATACTAACAAAAAATTTTGAATACAGTGTATCATTCCATAAAACGTTCGCATATGTTACTTTGACATTTCTTTAATACATGGGCAACTGCTTTCAATCGGTAAAATGTGTGGGTAAAATGTTGGCACTTATTTCTGTCACATTCTGTATAAATACAAAACTTTTGTGATTTAGAGGTGGTTGGTGCAAAGGCAAATGAAATTGGAAGGCGGTTTCCAAGGTAGAACGAATAAATTGGTGGATGGTTGTTATTCTTTTTGGCAGGGAGGAGCTTTCCCATTATTATATTCTTTATTAGCTAAAGGTTCGTCTGTCGCCTCCTTCATAATATTTTATTCTGACATTTATTATTTTTAGGGTATAGTATACCTCAGGATCATCTGTTCGACGAGAGGGCATTACAAGAGTATATATTAATTTGTTGTCAAAATCCATCAGGTGGCTTACTAGACAAACCGGGCAAGCCGAGGGATATTTTCCATACTTGTTACACTATAAGCGGTTTGTCTGTCGCACAGCATTTCCTTAACGAAAGGCATATTTTAGGGCCCACAAGAAATTCAATAGTAAGTATAATTTACCGAAAAAAAGATGTTGAGTGTTTCACACTTTTACGATATTTAGAAACGTCAGTAATTAAAAAAGGAATATAATAGATTAATAAACATATTAACCAAAGTTTAAATTGAAGGTAGAGTATGAAAAATGGGTTCTAAGGAAAAATACCAAAAATGCTTCGTACGTGAGATATCAGGCATTTATATACAGGGTGCGGCATTAGTGCGTCGACGTACGATATCTCCTTTATTATAGAAGATATCAAAAAGAGTTATTTATAAAAATTATAGCCAACTTAAAACTGCATATTTTAAAATTATTTTCATACATTCAAGGTGTTACGTATTACCAGGATGAACCAAAAATACTATTTTTTAAATGGGACTATATATTATTTCAAATTTAGATTAAGCTCATCTCTCCCATGCTTCCAATATATGGTTTAATTACATTATATATTTCAAAAGTTATGGTCAATTGTATACGAGAATTCACATTTCAGCATCCTGTATACCCTAAACGGAACAACTTAACAATAATTTTGCAAGCATAACTTGGTGCAGTTTTATGAGAAAGTGCTATTTCTATGTTATTGCAACAGTTGAGTATAGGGCGAGCCAAAACTCAAGCACATAATTCTCTCAATTTTTTTAAATTAATCACCCTGTATCTCATTTTAAAAAGTGAAAATACACTTTATGTACCTTCATTTTGTTAAAGCATTTCCTATAGCTAAAATCATTAATTTCTGAGATATTTACTATTTAATAGCAAAAAGAGTTTTTAAAAAAATCCTATTATACAAGTTGGACGTGGGCAAATGATAGATAGATATTATTCAGTAATAATTACTAGCTTGTCACTTAACAAACTTCTGTGAAATTTTGTATTGCTTATTGTTATAACAGGAATTCTTTAAAAACTCTCTTTTTGTTATTAAATAGTAAATATCTCAGAAATCTATGATTTTAGCTATAGGGAATGCTTTATGAAAATGAAAGAATATATTTTCAGTTTTTAAAATAAAATACAGGGTGATTCATTTAAAAAAATTGTTAAAATTATGTGTTTGAGTTTTGGCTTGCCCTATGTTCAACTGTTGCAATAATAAAGAAATAACACTTTCTCGTAAAACTGTACCAATATTAAAAAATTTATGCCTGCAAAAAATTATTGTTAAATTGTTCTCTCTAGGGCAGTGGTCGGCAACTGGCGGACCACGGTCCAGATCCAGACCGTGGAAGGTAAAAAACTGGACCGGCAAAAATTTTTTGAAAATATAATTACTCAAATATAAAAATATACTTTTCTGTAGATAACAAAATGTTTGAGGGCTACCCTTATCATTTTTTAATGGTTAGTAGGTTAGTAAAAAACTAGCTCAAGACCGCAAATATAATTTCTTCCATTGATTTTTGAATACAAATATGCCTATCTATTGTATTCCATATTATTTTGTGAGTGCAAATTAAAATAAAAATTAGTAAGGAATATGAGTTTTTTTTTCTGGACCTCTTTAAAAATTTTAAAAAGTGACGATTCCACCTAAAATTACTTGCCGACCCCTTGTCTAGAGTATACAGGACGCTGAAATGGGAATGATTCTCGTATACAATTGACCATAACTTTTGAAATTCCCTGTATAACATAATTAAAACCTATATTGGAAGAATGGGAGAAATGGGCTTAATCTAAATTTGAAATAATATATAGGGTGTCCCATTTAAAAAATAGTATGTTTGGTTCACCCTGGTAATACGTAACACCCTATATACACTAAAATAATATTAAAATGTGCAGTTTTAAGTTGGCTACAGTTTTTGTAAATAACTTTTTTTAATATCTTCTATAAGTGGAGACGCACTAGTGCCGCACCCTGTATGAAGAAAAATAATCAAATTTCTTAGTAAATACCAATAATTTTGCCATATCAAAAATAGAAAATGTAAATAACAAAAGACTGTTTAACCTTTTGAGTAGCCCAGTCGGTAATCCAAAACAGGGTGCGGCGCCAAAATCGGGACAAAATCTAAATTGAAATTCCTGCTGTTCGCAAGTCGCAACCTTAAAATAGTCTTAATGTTGCAACCAAGTGCAAAGTATAACCGAAGTGCCTCGATTGTCAAAAACGTTCGTGCTGGGTGCTTGGCGACATTTAAATTAAAATATTAAAAAAAACATCCATAGTGCTCTATAACTTAGGACAGTCACACCTTGAGACAGGTGTAAGTTTAGTTGGTTTTTCTTTAGTTGTAGATGGAAAACGATTTTCAATATGTCTTGATGCCATTTTCTTCTGCTTTGTATTAGTTGACTATATTTTTTCCAAGTTGTAGCAAAAAATTAAGTTTTTCCTAGTTTTTTTTGTAAATATTGTAAGAATTTAAAGTTGTCACACTTAGAAAATGTCAGTGTCATTTACTTTTTTTTACTCTGGTTCTGGCAATTCCATAAAAATGTAGTGTGTCAGAAGGATCGTCTCCGTCTATATAGAAATTCTCTGTACTTTTTTTGGCACGGAATCTCTCCTTAAAGTTTTTCGCAATATATAAGAAACATCCTGTATATGTCTTCTTAAGGGATTAAGGTAAAAAATAAGCTTATATTTACATTTGACTATCTTAAACTCTTACGAGTATGCCAAATTTTGTTAAAATGTTTGAAAATTAACAAATTATTGTATAAACATTTTAAAAATTTTTTGAAAGCCAGTAATTTTTTAATGAGGCATATATTGGTAACTGAGATATATTCGGTTAATTGGTTTATTTTTGTCAGCAAATGCTTTGGTAAAATTTTTTGCACGTAATCGTGCCTTACCATAACCTACTATAAGGGTGATTCAGAACTTATCAAAAAGGGCAGTTTGAAAATGATTTAAAAATACACTTCTGCACGGCACTGGAAACTGGTCCACTGTAAAACCTGACCTTGCACAATGCGACCGGCATGGCGGTGTGATAAAAACGGACAAAAGCTTTTACAAGGAAAGAAATAAATAGAATTTTATAGCACCTATTTTATATCGGCAAATTCAACTGCTTTTGCCTTTATTAATTAATAAAATTAATTTGTGTTTTTAAGTAATAAAATCATTTGACATGCCTGATGTTACAACAACAATTGTTCAAAATTTTATCCACCAACGTGTAAACACATTTGGGTCCGTCTTGCTCAGTTTCTACGAACTAACACAAATATGTATTGTTTTGTTTCACAATAACACAAATGCTTCACCATAATATAAATGTTGTCTTGATTCACCATAAATTAAAACGATATCTATCAACAACTATTGTAAACACCACAGATGACAGGTAAACACTATTGCAACGACGATTCGGATTTCAGTATTCCGAGTCGCTGGGACCACGTGGCTCTCCACGCGTATTGCGAATGACGCTAGATACTACAGTTGTCCAGCTATGTAGTGGTTGAATGTTCTATAACTTCAATAATTTTTTTCTTGGAAACTATAAGGATTTTACAAAATTTTTTTTTTCTTTATTGACTCCATTTCTCATGCCGCATCTATTCCCAAATTTTTTTGGATAAGTTGTGAATCACCCTGTATAATTTTTTGTTTCAGACATGTACTCATCCTTTGTACAACATTAGACCAGATATAGTTCGAAAAGCATTACTATATTATAATAACTTAGGAGATCCTAACAAGAAAGACAACAATATCGGCAGCACATGACACGGAATCAAAAGATGTATACACCACTTTAAAATATACGTGTATAATTTTAATATATTACCTTTTACATCAAAAATGAAAATCCATACATGCATTTTAAGTAATTTTAACTATATGGGTTGCATTTTGGTCAGTTGAAAATATTTTTAAGGGTTATTTAGAGACCGTATTTTTTTGTTGTTTGATAAAATGTTGATGAAAGGATAGTTAATATTATGTAAAAAATATTTGCATTGATACAGTTTATTTATGGTGTTTTTGAAGGTGCGACTGAATATTGTACTGTATATTGATTTGTAATTATTTTACCACTTTGTAAAATAAACCATTTTAGGCATTACTTTATATATTAGTACTTCGGATGAAATTTATATCTCTAGACGAGTTTTTATTTAAATAAAAAATCTTAATGCACTACTTGGTTTTGTTATTTTCAACAACTAACTTTTCTGCCATCTATAAAAAAATCTTTTTGTTAGTGTTCACATTCGTAGTTGTGTAACAACAAACTTTATTTTTGATGTAGCCCCAAAGTCAAGGGGTGTAAGATCTAGATCTGGACAGCATGGTGACCATGGTACAAGCCTACCTCGACCTATCCATCTATTCTTGTACTCTGAATCGGGCCAGTCCCTCACACCTCTAAAATAATAAAATATCTATGGAGGACCATAAACAACATTGAATAAATCATTGTTCAAGAACTCGATTAAAAGCTGTCCATTAATTCTATCTGGCTCCAGAACATTATCTTCCACAGTATCTCTATCTTTAGGCCAATGCACAGGGCCGTCTTTACGCAAAAGCCTCCTAGGACCCCGGGTATGTTGGAGGCCGCGACATTAGAATCAATCGCGAAAATAAAATTATTTACTCCAATATATTGCCGATGAAATCTTTCAACAAAAAACATTAAGTCCTCGAACCTCTTCAAAAATAATGTTGAATAACAAATCTTATAAGCTTTAAAATCCCCATAGTAATAACAATAAGTAATTAATTACATTAATCATTTAATGTAATAATATTTATTATATAATATAGAAATGTAACATCACAATTTTTTTCTTGATTTTTTGTGAGCGAAATCAGAAATTATATCTTCAAGACTTACATTATGCATGCACGCACTACTAGAGCAGAGCTCACCGTAAATTTGAAAGAAACTGGACAAACTTTACACAAAATAATCCTGGTCTTTACTCGAAATAATTCTAAACATATTTTTTACACTAAAAAATTCTACACTGGTTTTACATAGAATTTTTTTATCTATAGCAAACATCCTATTCTATGTAAAATTATTTCATAAATGGTGGTAAAGTATTTTGTATGTTAATACATTTTATATAATCTAAGTTTGTATAGATGGTTGCAGAGCAACAAAAACAAAAAAGTTGTTGAAAAATAAATTAAAAATGATGACTTGTTCTAAATTCTATTAATCTATTTGTGTAGTTGTACAACCTTCAGGAAATAAAGAAAATTATTCAATCAGCACAAGAGTTTATATAGTCCACTCTATCAAATAACAAATGGTGTGGGGGGTTATTTTTAAATAAAGTTTGTCCGGTGTCATTTGAAATGGTTGCTTATGTGCTTATTAAGTTATTATGACGTAAGCTTCTATTAAAAGCGAATTAGAACGATAGGGTTACGCATATAAGATTTCAGTTTCTGATATTCGAAAGGTTTCATTCGTTTTTTCTACATTTACTGGGGGCCCCTTCGATATTTGGGCCTAGGTCCTCATACCTTGTAAAGACGGCCCTGCAAATGCAAGCAATTTCAGTAATGAGTTTTCATTTAAATACAAATTTTCTTCAACGGCAAAGTCCATAAGTTCGCTTAAACTTAAAACGCATATGATATTCTAGATAAAATTATATACTGTAAATTCTGTAAAATCTCGTAAATGTAAGAAACCATGGCTAAGTTGATGCATCACATTAAGCCCCATACAGATGAATTAAAGCAATGCTATTGCGCAATTTAGGGGCAGACACTTTAGAATGAATTAAAAAAGAATTCACAAATTCGCTTGAATTCCTCAATAGTGTACACCTAAGTTCATGAATAATTACCCCCTTCCTAAGTTTTGAAGTCCACAAAGCATTATTTTATTTTTGTTCTCAAATAAATAAAATTTGCTAAATAAATTATATTTGTATAGATGATATGGTGATGACTACAAGATAATTAATTATGTGGATACCATTGTGCTAGGAACACGAAAATATATAAGAGAGAAGATATTGAAGAAGGCCCACTAATTTGTAATAGGTAGGAGTGATTCTGTTTTCTGTAAATGCAATTACTATAGTTACTTACTATGTCAAATAGGGACATCAATACAGAAGTACTGGAATGACAAATTTTATTTAATTCGTACATAGTTTTTGAGTTATTTGGAATAAATATAATTTTTTTACTAAATTTGATACCCTCTGGCGGATAAAAGAAACATTGGATGTGGGAAAGTTTAGTTGAATCATCTAATTTTGACTCGCAAGAATTTGTGGTAATTCTGTGTAAACATAGTAGGTACCTAGTAAGTATTGGTACATTTTGTACAATAGTATAATATTTAATACGACGATGGATAATTACTTTTATTTTTGACAAGCCAATAAGTTACATTCTGTATAGAGATAAAAATGTATATCATGTTATGGATAGTTAAAATGTTACAATATAATTACAAAAATTTCAATATTGAAATGTGTTGCAATGAATTTTAAATTTTATTTAGAATACCTGAGTATAGTATACTCAAGGCAGGAAAAACTCAACTTTTATTTTTAATTTAAATTCAATTATCGAAATTTTTTGAGTACAGGCCTGTTCTAACCTCAATGCGGCTCTGTAAATTTTTACGCGCAGCCTCTAATTTTCCTGGCGGCGCACGTTTTCCTCGCTCTCTCTTTTTTTTATTTATTGTCTTCTTGGATTTGTATAGGAGAGGTTGTTAAGTTTGTCTGGCTGAATTTATATATTAACGTGTTGAAAAGTTGTGGTGATCTAACAATGTGATTTTGATTATTTTTAATTTGGTGTAAACTAATAAGTAAAGGTATTCGTATTGTGTTAGTGAAGTGTTTTGAAGACAAGGGGGCCAAAATGATTGCAAACGGGCATATTGTAGGAGACGGATCATGGGATCTACGTGTTTTTGTCACAGATTTGCAGACCGAGAGACTAATCCGCGTAAAAGGAGATGTCCACATCGGTGGTGTCATGCTGAGGCTCGTCGAAGACTTAGGTTAGTACCCCTATCAGTTTGCCATTTCTGTACATCTTTGCGAATTTTTTATCTATAGTTGTGAGGAGTTACTTATATTAGTGATATCAATATTTCGAAATATAAAAAGATAACCCAGGTCAGTTAGAAACTAGATGCGTGTATTTTTATTTAAGGAGAAAAACATTCAATTATTCATACTCAGTCATTGAAAAATATAACTAGGTACCTATAAAATAAAATATTGAAAGGAATTATTGTGAGAGATGTTCATAACCTCAAATAGTAATGTAAAATGATCTAAAATAGGCGTAAGTTTTATTCCAAGAATTTCTAGTGACGTGCTGGGAGGAGAGAATGTCCAAATCATATATCATGATTTTGTTGATTTAGTGTAAATGATATCCGAAAGTATTTTTTGTTTTATGTAAGTATACTGAGGTATAATAAATAAGAATGAACAGCTATTATATTCGAGTTTGGTAGGTACTTTTGAAATTTTTAAGGTAGATGAATCAATAGTCGATATAAAATTGCAGAATATAAACATTTATAAATTATATAAACAAATTAGTAGGTACTCAAATACTAAAAAGCATGAGCGGCGTCGGAAAATTTTCCAGGAGGGGCAAAAATTATATGCAATTTTTTATAATATAATAGGTAGGTATGTAAAATTTGAATCATAAAAAGGGTTCAACTATTCACTTAGTTTTAAACTAAGTAAAATTAATTAGTGAATGAAAAATATGTAATGCATTGTAATCAAATTATTAGTAACATCGAAAAATTTCTTTGTATTATCTTTTTACATATCCTCATCATGTTACAAAATAAATATACAGTAATATAATTTTATAGATCTCGAAATACTTATCGAAGATTGTATGTAATTTTTGTCGATTTTTTTAAATTCCATTTGCACTGGCCCTCATTTATGAAGTGTTGCTTCGATGTCATAAACTTTTTTATTATATCCTAACTGCAGAATAAAAATGCCCAAATGTTTTTATCAAATCTCGTAAATTTGTTAAATTTGTCTGGAAATATTGGAATTTTTTGGTCGAAGTTTGGTATACCTATTGAATTTAAATTGATAAATAAAAGTACGGTTGTTAGTAAGTAGCTACAAACATATTAACATTGCAGACTCAAACCTTATTATTTCTAATATTTTTTTTATTAGAAAATTTGTGTATTCTATACCAACCCCTAGGGGGTTTGGGCAGGTCCATTCACCGCAGGGTGGATTCCCGCGGTGCGGCCATACACAACAGTGTCATGGTCGAATCTTGGATGGCCTAGGTAACCGTTCGCGACCTTGTCGGGTCGCCCTTACGTCACTCCGTCCCTCGCATGTTGCGTTGTCTCCGAACGAGAACACGCCTTATATGGAAGTTCACTGCTTGCCTCAATGTGCAAAGATTCGTGCATGCCATGTCATACCGCGCATCCAAGTGTTATTGACCAAGCCATTTCTCAAATATTGTCAAATTAGTCTGATGGAAAGTTCGTTTGTTTGCGGTGAATGTCCATCTCGAAGAAGACATGCCTGATACACATGGGCGTCCGGAAAAGGGTAGACGATCACTTGAAAAGTTAACGCCACCTTGGTTGATCGACAACTGATTGGTGGCCGCCATTACAGGACAGCGGAAAGAATACCTATATACAGTAGATCTTTATGGCGTAATTCTATAAAATATTTGCTTTAAAATTCCATGTTGGCAAAGGACCTCGCACTTTTCTTATGGGAAGTGGGTTTCGGCCAATTTTTTTGAAACTTCGCAGGTTGATAGTTCTTAACATGTAGATCAAAAGTCTCAATTGTAACAAAGCCCCAAATCCACCCCTTCTCCCCCAAAAACTGCCACCAAGTAGCGGGGAGTTTACTTGTCGTTTTATGCAAAAAAGTTTCATATAAAAGTTGTTTATTTCAATGAAATCTAAAAAATCTATTCTTGTGTTTTTTTTGAAAAATCAATGTTTTAGCTTTAAAACGCCACCAAAGTTTAACACAGAGTATACGTATGATAGCTGTATATATATACACGTGTGTTAAGTTTAATAGCGTATTACAGCTTGAATATTACTTTTTCGAAAAAATCACATATAGACTTTTTTTTAGATTTAGTCAAAATAAATAACTTATAATAAGTACTTGAAATATTTTTTCNTTTCCCTATATATTTGTATATTATTATTTTATATCTTTTGCACAAGACCATATATCGGAAAACTTTTTTAATAAAAGCTGTTGAACAAAGTGAGAACTTATTAGAAATATGATTTGAGATTGGGAAAAACAATCACGGTATCGTCCTAGATCTTAGGACTATAAACTTACCAAGATGGAATTTTAAGTCAAATACCTCATCAAGTCATAAAGATCTCTGCATGCTAAGATAAAGTTATAAATATAACAATAACAATATTGCACAATAAAAACTGAAATAAAATACTAAATAGGAAATAGTTTTTACTACAATACTGTTCCTTCTGTCTTATTGTAATACTGTTTCTTCCTACACGAACTACTGAGGATTAAATCAAAATTAGAAATTATCTATCACTTATATATTTTATGTGTTTACTAGTGTTACTACCACATGATGAGACTTAGTAACAATATTACACTTATTTCAGTATTTTGAAGTCAACGAAATACTCATGTAATTTACATAAGAAATTATAATTGTTTAAAGAAACAGAATATTTACATTTATACTAAAAAAACATACTTATTAACTTAAAATATTTAGTTCTTCATCAAATTGCAAATAAAGTTTCAGTTTGGTATATTGAAAGAAATTAATAAAAAGTTGTAGAAAACAGGTGCAACAAGACTAAATCTAAAGTTTTGAAATGAAATAATTAAATTTGGGTAAACACATTTTTTTCAAATTACGAGAATAGGAAAAGAATAATCTTCGGAATAATCTTTAACTTGCTGTGTCTTGGGAACGACTAGAAATAAACATTTGAAATTTGGTAGTGATTTTACACGCTCTTCCAAAAAAGCACAAAAATAGGTGTTTTAGAAAAATTATCGATGACATCATATTTACTAGTTGGAACCTGTATAGGTAGCTATATATGATTTCGGTAAAAAGCGCTCAACTTATAATACTAATCAACGTGCCCGAACATTTTTTTAACAATTTTGTGTTGATATACCGAATATTTATTCCAAGTTAATGACTTGCACTGTATAATAAGTCTCGTGTCTCATTCAATTATCTCTCTCTAAATATTAATCAAAAGAAAATTATGAATTGTCCTGTCCGTTAAACTCTTCTTACTGTCTAGTGTCTATTTTAATTATTCAAATTCTAGTACTTGATTAGATACTTTAAATTATATATTTGGGCCAACATAATCAATCGTTGTATATTTCAAGTGTTTCTATACCTATTCGAACTTATTCGGTTATTAGGTGATTACTTTATTGTATACCCAGTATTTCTAAAATTAATCTTCCACAATATAATCCCTTAATTAAATATATTAATTCTTATTTCTGGTTCACATTGTCTATAAAAACGCCATTGAAGATATAATCTGTCTAATGACAATATAAAACACTCGGAAACACCCTACATTTACATATGGGTTTGATAAGTGCCAGTAGATCTAGATATACCACTGCTTCTGATGTGTTTGTTACGTGACTACTCAAAATTTCCATAAAGCTGGTCGTGGTCATGCAAGCAACAGTGTTTGCCCTCATATTTGTCTATATAATTTATTATTGTTACTTATAGAATAATATAGGGGCGTTGCTCATTTTTTTTAATTAAAACACTGTGTTTGAAATGGTTCTAAATAATAAATAATAGAAATAGGCCAAGGAAAAACAAAAATTTTTAAATTATGTTGTTGGGCAAAGATTTTATTATTGTATGGAAGCCGAGGGAAACTAATTTGAACATTTAATTAGATAACATTCTTTCATTCATTGATATCTGTCTTATTTTCTGAGTGGTGATTTTATTATCATATTCAAACCAAAATTTAAAAAGTCGTATGTCGTCGTGAGCAGAATTGAAAAAGCTTTAAAATGAGGTGTCATTCAACATAGGGTGCCATTTAAAGTGTAAGGGTATATTACGTCCCTGCCAAGACACCAAAATTTAACGCCATCATGTGTCCCCCTTGAAAAAAAAATCGACGTGTATCAGGTTTTTTATTTTTATTTTTTTTAATTTCAATATTTTCCAGGTGGGAAGTTTTAATTGAAACACTCAGTATATTATAAGAAATGTAGAGACAGTAATAATAACGTAGATCTGATAATAAAGGGCTTGTTAAGAGGTACTGTGTACTATTCATTTAAAAGAAGATTTTTTAAATACATAACCCAAAAATTACCTCTTACATCTCCACCATTGTAACTGTAGAAAAATTGTTTCCCCATGAAATGATTGCAATCGATACGTTTACACTTGGCAAGTTTACTGGCGGAAAGTACTTGCTTGTTGTTTTGTGTTTACATATTTTCAAGTTTATTTGCTAATAGTTGTTTTACATTGACAATTTATTGATCAATTCATTCATGAAGTCGCTTCATCAGGAAATTGGACAAGTGTAATGTACCAAATCTGCTGACAAATAACTTCATGAATTTATTCATCAAGTTCTTGACGAATTAGAGCATGTTCTAATTTTCGTCAGTTTCTTCGTGAAGTTCGGAAGTACCAACCCAACAGATTTCCGGCCTCAGATCAGTAATGAGGTTATGTTATTGGAATATGTAAATAATTGTGTGGCGTCGTGCTAGTTTTGCATTGTTTTTACTGATTTGTTACTTACAAACACTAATATTTATATAATATGTGTCAGAACGGTACCACCTGTTATATCACTAAAATTATGAGTGGAAAGGTGACATTTTTGAAATTTATTTGCTTCTTTGATTCAACGGTAGAACTGATTCATACGTCAAAAAACTTGACACAGTCAGTAGCAGTGTAAAACCATACTGTTTATCAATAAATTCGTGAATTAATTCATGAAGAACT